CTTGTCACATTCGTTTTCTCGAGTGAGGGAGAGAGTGCATGAGTCATCCCCCACATGGGATTTTTTTTTTTTTTCTCGTCCATTTATATATGCAAGGAGTGTACTTTTTTGGACAGCGCGGACACGAATGCCAGTGGGGTGTACCGATGCCGTCGCTGGTGAGAGTACTAATTCGAGCGCCGCTTCCATTCTAGTACGAAGGCAAACGCCGATGCGTCCTCCTCGCTCCCTTGCGTACGAGTCAGTCCACCTGTGTGAAATGTGTAGCTCCAAGACCAACCAGTTAAGATGAGGTTATTCGAAAGGGTTTTCAAATGGTTAGATCATCTCGCGGGGGAAGTCCCCCTTCTTTGCGTGTGGCCACTGGTCTGCTTTTGTTTCTACTTTTACGTACCCATCCGTCGGGTGTATGTGTGTGTGGGTATTCACTCGGCACACGGGTAGGAAGCATCGCTTCATTCTTGTGTTAATTCTTGATCCACTTTGCGCGCCGGTGGAGGGAACTTACCCTATTGGGGTTACTTCCGAGCGGAAGAGCGATGAAGATCTGTCAGGCATGCCTTAAGACAGATGCAAAAGAGAGAGAGAGGAAAAAAAAAAAAAAAAAAAAAAAACACGTGGAACCTTACCCGCGGTGTGTAACTTGCGCCTGCTCATGTGGAAGAGGCCGACTTCTTCCCATCGGAAGTTACTCTCCCCGATCGACGCATGAAGGGTGAAAGAAAAAAAAAAAAAGGAAAACAAAAAAATAAATCAAAAAAAAATGCAACTCCATCCGAAGCGCTTCCCATTTCTAAAAAATAAAAACGAAAAGGCACTATTTTTTCTGCCAAGTAGAAGAGACTACCCCATATTTAGAAAACACATCTTTTGGTACCTCCCCAACTGCACACAGTAGGGGGTTGAGAGGAACATAGTCCACCCATGTGCCTAAGAGAAAATTCTTTCTTGCCTTTCCCTCTTTTAGTGGCATTAAAAAAATGGGACCTTCCAATCTTGAGTAAAATTTCTCCAAAAAGTGTCGTGGCAGGGTAGGGTGTTCCTCCATCTCAGTGATTGTTTCACCCACCTGCACACTTGGCTCCTCAACGCGGTTTCAAATTGGCAGATTTGGAAGACTCTTCACTGTCCCTTGTGTGATGCGCGCAGTGTGTGCCCCCCTCGGGTTAGCAGCCTAATGGGGGAAGAACCAAAAAGGAAAATCCGTCCAGCGTGATAAGAGGCGGACATAAATTGGACGTAGCTTTGTGGAGAGGCACAAGCACAAGAGGGGTTAAACGGAAAGGGGAACGTTACCAACGAGGTGGGAGGATCTCACCGCCGCAAGCAATTACGCAGATTTCGCTGCTCCCACCGCTTTCCCTCCGTCGGGATGAACGAGAAGAAGCAACTCAGCATAGCCAACCTGTTCACGGCGAACAGGGACAGCGGCGGGAGGGGGAACCAAAGCGGCGGCAGGAGCAACCAAAGCAGCGGGAACATCGGCGGAAGGAGCAACCAAAGCAAAGGACACACCAGTGGAGAAGACAAAAGCGTTATCATAGATCGGGAAAAAAAGAAATCCATCTGGTCGCTATTCACCCAGGTGGATGCGTCCGCGAGGGAGGTAAAGAAAAGGAGCGAAGATGGGGATGATGTGGATGATGGCGCTGATGCCGCTGATGGCGAAAGCCTACCTGCAGATGTCTTTTTCACCCCGAGAAATGCGCTGCGGGGGAGGCAGGAGAGGGAAAAAAGGCGAGACAACCGGGGAAATTCCCACGCTGGGAGCTGTGGAGGAAGCCAAGGAGACCATCCCCCTACCCCAACCAGGGCCAAGCCCGACCTCTTCAGAAACATGCACGAAAATCTGGATATCCAGAAAGAAATAGAAAACATAACTAGCAGCTTCAAACGGAAGAACAACATTTTACTGGGAGATAAAACTGACGACAGTGTGCTGAGTAGCATTCTTTCGAGGAAGAGGACAAAAATGAACGTCGAGGGGAGTCATCTGGCGTCGTGTTTCACCCCCTCCGCCGGAAGATCCTCCGCGTCCTACAACGCATACAAGGAGTTCTTTGCAAAGGGGGCCTCTAACCAAAATGGGAAGGACGTAAAAGAAGCCATCAACAAGAAGACGTTCCTGGATGATTTAGAGGAGAATAAAATGAGGTACCAAATAAAGGATGACAATGTGATGATGCGGATGAAGGGGGTGAGAGAGGCGGGCGAAGCGAACCAGGCCAACTCGCCAAACGGAACAAACGAAGAAGGAAAAAAAACCCACACATGCATGCTAAAGAAGAAAAACGTGTGCGTCCCAGTAAACAAGATAAACGAAAATAATCATCAAAATGTGGTCAGGATGAGGAAAGCACATCAAATTTTATTGAAAAAGGATAACTTCGATATCTTTCACCACCTGGGAGACGACCTTTTTAGATACATCATATCGAATGTAAAAAATAAAAACCTCCTTCTCCTGAACAGACGATTTAGAGACATCGTTCGTTGCCTCCGATTGAAACTCATTTATGACGTGACATTAAAAAATACAATCCCTCCAGAAAGTATTATCAAAACGGTATACACATCAGACAAATTGCAGGTGCTGGATCTTTCAGGGTGTTCCCATCTCTCTTCTCATCATTTTCATTTATTCTGTAATTCGAATCATATCAAATTTGATAAGACTCTGAAAATACTGTGCTTAAATGGCTGTAGCAAAATTACGGATTCAAGTCTGAAGGTTCTTCTCCATCGATTTAAGCACCTCTCCATAGTAGACCTTCGTAATTGCTATAAGATCAGTCACGATGGGATTTACCCTTTGAAATTCAAGACCAGTTTGGTCAAATTGTACCTTGGGAACACGACCTCCTCTAACGTGTCGAATTATCACTCGGATGACACTCTCCGTGTGCTCTTTAGCAGTCTCCCTCCTTCATCGGAGGAATCCACTACTCAACGTACTGCTACGTATGGTGCTGACATGAACGTACAGATTGACACCCCTCTGAAGCTACTCTCCTGTTTCGAAATTACCAATGCGAAACAGCTGAGCGATATTTCCTATCTCTACATTATTTCGAAGAACCTGAAGGTGCTTAGCCTCCGGGGGTGCAACATTGATGACACGGCATCGATTTTCTTCAAATGCCTCACTAACCTCATCGCTTTGAATGTAGCCGATACGAAGGTATCCAATGGGGTCATCAAAACGGTCTGCGCACACGCACCCAATATGATGATCCTCGACATTTCCAAAACGATAGACGTCCAGAACGACACCATCTTGACCGTCGCGCGAAGTCTCAAGCGCCTCCGGAAGATTAAGGTGTCCTCTTTGCAGTAATGATGGAGCGAATGACGTGTGCGCTGTGGAGAAGTCACCTCACCACAGAAACGCGGCATAGTCACTTCCCCCATTCCGCTTCGTCACTTCATCACTTCCCCACCCCACTGCTCCGCAGAAACGTGGACAACTTCTCCGTCCGGGAATTCCTCAAACACTGCAGGGACCTCATAGCAATTGATTTCTCCAGCTGCTGGAAGGTTAATAACTCCTTTTGTCACGTGAACGGACTGGACGTCGCGTCAGGTAAAAGGATTAAGGGACAAAACACACCCTTTAACCGAGGCGCCTCCTCCCATCACGGCTATTAAGCCGCATTAACACATGTCATACATTACCCACTAAGAAGTAAACGTGGTATGTTCCTTTTTGCACACTCGATCGATCCTCCCCCCCACTGCGATTCTTATTTTTTTCTTTCCTCCCACCGCTTTTCCAACCGCAGGGCCTAAGCTAACAGATGTCGGTGTCTACCAATGCTCAGTCGACCGCAGGGCCTGCGAAGGGGCCCTCACGGAAGTCGGCTGCTCCTCCGTGCGCGTGCACATATACAATGTAAGCGTGGGCGCGCCACGGAGAGGTGGCGGGAAGCGTGGCGCCGTAGAGATGCGACGACTGTGGGTGAAACTTCCCCGCATATCAGCCGGATGTTACAGGTTTCCACCTCACACGTTGTTTTTTTTATTTTATTTTTTCTTATTTTTATTTATTTTTCCCTAATATACCCCGCGCAGGAGCTGAAAATATTCGAGACATCCATTTACGCCGACGTGGACGCACTGGAGAAGGGCGAATGAGGGGGAACTACAAATGGCCCATCCGTCGCTCTTCCTGTGAGCGTCTTTCCACACATTGAGTTTGAAGAAGTCACATTTGTACGTAATGCGTTTTTTGGTCGTTTTTTTTCTGCCATTTTAAAGGCTCCTATTAACCCTTCTTTTTAACCCTTCCTTTTAACCCCCTTTTTAATCCTTTTTTTTTTCCGTTTTGAATCCCCCTTTTAATTCACCCACTTATTTGCCTTGTTCATTTTGAAGCACATAACTTGGCTGTACAGATTATTACGCCTTTTTTAAATTGAATTAAGTTGACATTTTTTTCCGATCATTCCTGCTTTCCCACTCCGGTTCACTTTTCATGGGTGAGAGAATAATTTGAAGTTTTCGCGGAATGGCCGATTTTTCTTTTTTTTTTTTTTTTTTTCGCATGAAGAGTGACTAACGGTTCATTCCGCCAGGCCTCTTCTCTTTCCTTTTTGCGGTGGTGCGCGGGAAGAAGCGGCAAAATGGTATGTACCCTATTTACGTAATGGTATATATAATATCTTTTTCCTTGCGTGGATATGTACTGCGCTTTTGCGGGCATATTTTTCACCCCCCCAGCCGATTGGTACATCTGCCCTGTTTCCTCTTTCCACGTCCATCCGAATGTTCACTGCAATAAAATAAGTGCTAATGCGAACATAAAGGAAAAAAAAGCAGTGCGCCCATTTTAACTTGAGTTTTTTTTTTTTAATGGGAAAAATATATTTTTTCCTCTTTCAAATAGTGGTATTGTAGTCCAAATGAGTTGGCGCGAGTGAAGCGTCCCCTAAGTTAAGTGGTCAGTTTATTATTTTTTCCGCTTCCCGTTTGATTCATTTGCGCATAAAGTATAGTCCTCCTGTTTTCCCTGACGCTCTGCGTCTTGCGTTCCCTCCGAGCGCCAAAAGAAAATTTTCCTTCCCGAGGATTTCCGCGGAGGAACATTCGATGAGAGGAATTTGGTTCCCCTACAAAGATAGGAGTTAACAGAAAAAAAAAACAAACAAACGAATTGAACGAACGAAGGAACAGACAAACGAATGGACAAACGGAAGGGACAAAAAAACAGACAAATTAACTGAAATGAACTAGCCAGAGGAGACAAACGAGAAGGGGACATTTTTTTACTTCCTCTCTTTGTGAAGAGAGGAACGGGGCGACATTCATTTTAGTTCCCGTTTGGGGAGAAAGCAGAAGGATAATAAGCGAAGTAGACCGCCATATTTTTATACGTGGGTACCATCTTACAGTGTCTGTAGGCTGCTTTCCGCAGGATGTGTGACGCGGAAGAGTGTAACGACGTGCGAGATGATGGTCATTTGGCCCACGACCCAGCCGATGGAGGAACCAGTGAAACTTCAAACGCCTACGAAGACGCCATGGAAAATGGAGACGCCCCAGACGGAGATAGCGCTCAGGGGGGTCTGAATGGTAGGCTGGAACCTGATCCGGAGGGTGTCTCGCATGACCCCTCGCGGCATCACCCTTATGACGCAGCTCATCTGTCGCGAACCACCCCGCGACACCGATTCGGGAAAAACGTCCCCAGCGCGGACGACGCGGAGAAGTGCCACAAAGGCAAACCCGCCGGCCAGATGGTGCCCCAGCGGAAGGAAGAAGACCCCCCCGCCAAAGATGAATCAGAAAAGGAGCAAATCCCATCGGAACTGGAGTGCGCCATATGCATGAAGCTCCTAATCATACCAGTGACCATCCCATGCGGACACAACTTCTGTCGAGACTGCCTGGAGAAAGCCAAGGAATACAAAAATACATGTCCCTTATGTAGGTCAAATATGGGGGACAAAAAAAACATTAACATTCTGTTGGCCGATCTGATAAAGGAAAAGTACCCATTGACATATGCCAAGAGAGTGGAAGAAATGGAGATGATAAAAAGAGAAAAAGAGAAAAAAATACTAAAGGAAAGATTCGATGCGATTAAAAACTCGTCAGTCATTCCTCTGTTTAAAGTTCCCCTAGTGTTTGGTCCGTATTTCCCAGGAGAGGTCTTCGACCTAAACATATATAATGAGAAATTTATTGACCTAATTGAGCTCATATCAAGTGAACGCACCTTTGCCATCACGTCCAGTAAAGACAAATCAGATAATGGAGACGAGAAGATGTATGGAATCCACGTCAAGATATTGCAGCAAAATAAGATCAACCAAGTCTTCTGTATCAAATGCGTTGCAAACTTTCGAGTCATCCTTTATAACATTATACACTTCCATCAGTATGAGAATTATATAGCTAGTCATTCTCCCCTCTTTGACGAATCGATTTCTTTGAATCTGTTTGAGTATAATTTGTTGAGAGGATATAATGGATCTAAGGGGCCCGGCCAGGGTTCTTTCTCTCCGAAACCTTCTCCTGCTTCCTCTCCCGGTTCTTCTCCCGATTCTTCTCCTGCTTCGTCTCCTGCTTCGTCTCCTGCTTCGTCTCCTGCTTCGTCTCCTGCTTCTTCCCCCTGTGGCAATTGCGAGCATTGCGACCAGTGCTGCAATAGGTTGAAGTGTAACCGACACTGCACCAAGGAGGGTTCCTGCTCCTTACCGCAAGAGCAGGGGGGAAATTCCCCCAAAGGAGGCACCTGCAAGTGCGCCACGTCCGCCTCGTTTGCCACGTCTTCCTCGTCTCCCCTGAGGAGGAACGTAGAATGTACCAACCAAAGCACAATCGATTTGGGAAAGAAAAAAGTCGAAGACCTGAAGAAACTGCTAAACACAATTGAGTTAGAAGATGATATAAACGCCATTTCGTCTTACTACGACAGGTATAGAAGTATCATGAGCAATTCTACAGACACGAACGATTACCATGTGTATAACGCGGTGAATTACTACTCGTGTGTCATTTTTTCAAGGATCTGTCTCCTCTGCATAAGGTACCAGCTGAACCGTTTTGGCAATGCAGGAATACGTTTGTTTAATAGCAAGTTTCGAAACGTCAAGCTTACCTCCTCCGAACCGTCAAATGAGGAGCTGGAAAACCTCTCCTACTGTCTTAGCAGCGTTATTATCACTAGATCCATTCTCAAGTGGAGATGGTTTAAGACGACCAACACTACGGAGCGCCTTGAGAGCATAACTCAATATTTTCTAAAAAAGAAGAATAAGAGCATCTTGGCACTAGACAATTCGAGATCCCCGATTATTCACCGCCTCTTCATGCTGGACTCCATTTCGTCGTCTCTTCTCATTTTGGTATTCATTTCGGTAATCATATTTGTGAAGTACTTCCTCTACTGAGGTACACTTTGGGATTGCTGCTGGGTGGAGAGGGGGGAAAGAAGAAGCTCTCCGTGTCATCATCATGAGCGGCAGCATCATCATCCTATTTTTCGCTTCTCTTTCAAAACATCCATTGGCAAAGCTACCCCCGTTTGGTGTCTTTCCCCGCTCGGTCCTTTTTGCCCCTACTTCTGTTTTCCCCCTTCCTCTGTTTCCCTTTTTTTTTGTACACTTTCTATACATAGCTCAGTTTGTTACTCTCCTCATTGCTACTTTTTTAATTACTTAAGATGATTCCCCTTTCACCCTCCCTGTGGTGACAGACTTTTTGATCATATATACCCCCACAAATGCAATTAATTCTTTCTGCACACCCACTTGGGATGATAGTAGTTACTTATGGGCAGATCGCGTTGTGTCGGCAGGGCTAGCATCCCTTGACGTTGTAGCGTGGAGAGGCACAAACTGGTCCATACGAGTTTGCTTCCGAACGCACTCGAACTATCCCTCGTGTGCAGTCCAAGTGGGTACCCCTGCTCCCCTTGCGCGGTTTCCGCGTAGAACTTAGCATACAACTCAGCGTGGAATTGGCCGTACAACTCAGCGTAGTGGGAATCCCCGACAACCCCCTTCTTCCACCGCGCGGAGTTATCAATCTGTTCACGCATTTACTTCCTCTTAGACCATAGACCCCTGCTTCGACCATCGACCTATCTCCTTTTACTTAATGATGAGCTAACTCACTTGACCGCTGCGGGGTAGACAGTCAGAATGCGCTCGTCACGGTGAAGCAACCGGAAATTATGTCCTTTGCCGCTGAGTAGGTAAGCCTAACTGAACTGGTAGTCAGCGGCATCCTTTTGGGGGTGCGGGAGTCGCCATCCAGATTGGCCCAGAAATCGAATATCGCACTAATTCATCGAAGCCCTGGTAACATGTTGGCATCAATTTAGGGGTTAAAAGTAGGAAATATATCCCCCTGACAAATTTCGCTTCATTTAACCCTGCAACGGATCGGATCTTTTTTTTTATTTTTTTGTCCCCTGGTTGATAACATCTTTACCTGCACAGTGAAGGTGACGTTGTCTCACCTCTTCGCAGTGGTCATACCCAGCGCGGCGTGCTTTCTAAACAGACAACTCTTCCGATTGGCACTTGGTGTGCAATGTCTTTTATTCGCCATTTGATCAAAGTGTGAGTGTTCTCATTAAGCGTTTAAAAAGGAGGAAGTAACAAAGGGGGGGAAAGGAAAAAAAAATATGCGGTGGTTTCCATTCCAATTTTTTTCATGTAAGTATTTTTTTTTCTTTTCTTTCCTTCCATTGGTGCGATACATGGAAAATGTTTGGAAAGAACAGAGGCTCACTGCGAGACAGTAGCATATCGCCGCAGTAGCATACGGTCACAGTAGCATATCGTCACTGTGCCATTTCACCACTGTACCATTTTGCCATCATCTCCTCAGGGTGCACTTTTTTTAACTGTTCTCTCGTTTAGTTTTTTCTCCTCGTTTCGTTTTTCTTCCCCCGCCTCTTACTTCAAGTTTCCAGTTTTTGTGGATTTATTTTTCACGACACCCCAGCCCCCCTTCCTCTGACCCTCTTCAAAAGAGGAAAAATATTTTTTATTCAAAAGTAGAACTTACTAACCTATGTAGGGAGATTTTAAAAATCGAATTGGGATCTGGTGTTCGCCAAACAGTTTGTTCATTCGTCGTCATCGCTATGGTTAGTGGCCGCGTGCATCCGTGTTACGTCGTTTCACTTATTGCGTGTCACTTAGCGTGTACGCCTAGCGGACGCCGTCCCTTTGAATCGATTCAGGCCCCTCACTTAACATCATGCCAATTAGAGTCCACAGAGGAACAGGAAAAGCCGCGCAAAAACGCACAAGAGAAGAAGCGAACCAGTGCTCCGGGGGCCAACACGAATAATCCTATCTGACACGATTGCCCTCAAGAAGGACCACCGCAGAAAAAACGAACAAAAATAAAACGTCGGGAAAGGCAAGGAAAAGAACCCCAGGAGAGAGTCTCCCAGCCCCGCCTGCCGACACGATTAAAAAGAAGGGAGTCCTTTAACTAGGAATACACTTCGTTCTTTTTATCAACTTTGCTGCCTCCATTTTTTTTTTCTTCCTTTTCGATACCACTTGAAGGAAATCTCCTTTCCAATATCGATCGGTACGCTGCCACGAATTGTTGAATCTGTTGTCCCACTGGACTTGCCACCCACCTTTCTTTAAATGTAAATAAAAAAATGAAATAAAATAGAATAAAATAGAATAGAATAAAATAGAATAAGATAAAATAAAAAAATAGGCACCCTTGCGAGCCTATACCATGTACGCATCAGTGGTGATCCTTTCATATGTGTGATGTGCCTCGCGATTTGTTCGTTTTGTCGAGTCAGTGAAGCGGCACGTCTATGTATAGCTGCTAGACCCCCCACGCATTTATCTTGCTGCGACCGTGTCCGCGTGTGTGGTTAGCCCTTTCGATGCTGCTCCATCAAATTGCTTCGCGTCTTCCGCACTTGACACCCTCCCACTGCAGATGAATAATGAGCCCTTCAGCTTCAACGCAAACGCCCCGTCGTACTACCCCGGAATGGCCTACCAGGGAGGCGCCCCAGAGAGCCAAGAAGAAAATGACGCGGACAAGGGTTCTTCCTGCCCGGATACGGAGAACACAGAAGACCCAACTGTGAATGACGTACAGGAGCAATTAAAAAAAATGACAATAACTGATGAGCATCCAGTGGAGAACTACGAAGAGGGTAGCCCCATCGATCTATATAAAAAAGACCCAGTAGAGGAGGATTCTCAAGGAGAAAAAGCCGGACAAATAAAAAGCAATTTGATTCAAGTTGATCCCAGACTTCACTTAAATATCATTTTTATTGGACACGTGGATGCAGGCAAGTCAACCGCCTGTGGAAACATCCTTTACATTCTCGGATACGTGGATGATAGGACCATAGAAAAGTATGAGCGAGAGGCCAAGGAGAAGAATAGGGAAAGCTGGTTTCTGGCGTTCATTATGGATATTAACGAAGAAGAGAGACAGAAGGGTAAAACGGTGGAAGTGGGTAGAGCCCACTTTGAGACCAAGGACAGGAGATTTACCATTTTGGATGCCCCGGGACATAAGAACTTTATTCCCAATATGATTAGTGGTGCTGCGCAGGCGGACATCGGTGTGCTGATCATTTCCGCTCGCAAGGGAGAGTTCGAGACGGGCTTCGAGCGGGGAGGCCAGACCCGCGAGCACACGCTGCTGGCGAGGACGCTAGGTAGGCCCCAGAGAGAAGAGATTACAACGCGAAGCCAGGCGCGCGTCAGCACCGCACCCCTTACGATGCTTCTGAGAGCACACCCCTTAGTATGCTTCTGGCCCCCCTTACTACACTTCTGGCCCCCCTTACTATACTTCTGGCCCCCCTTACTATACTTCTGGCCCCCCTTACTATACTTCTGGCACCCCTTGCTGTCCTCCTCACACCACGTCTCTCTCCTCCCCCCCCAGGAATTAACCAACTCATCGTGGCCATCAACAAGATGGACGATCCCACGTGCAACTGGAGCAAAGCACGCTACGACGAAATAGAAAAGAAAATAACCCCCTTTATAAAATCCTGTGGGTACAACATCAACAAGGATGTCTTCTTCGTTCCCATCTCGGGACTCACCGGACAGAATCTCTCCGAACATGTCTCCGATCAGAACTCCAAGATATATGATGCAAGGGCTAGTTGGTATGATACATCTAAGCCAACCTTGTTTCAAATTCTAAACACGTTGTCCCCCCCTCCTTGGGATGAGAAGGGACCTCTAAGAATCCCCCTCCTAGAAGGATACAAAGACAACGGGATCATAGCCGTTGGAAAAATCGAATCAGGAACCTTGTACGGAAATAATATGAGCTGCACCTTGATGCCAAATAAGCTGAAAGTCAAAGTGCTGAATGTATATTTGGAGGAGGATGAAGTTCCCTATGCCAAGCCCGGAGAAAATGTTCGCGTGAAGCTATTAGGTGTAGAAGAGGACCAGATAAGCAAAGGTTTCGTCCTGTGTGATTCGTTAAACCTCTGCTCCGTTGTTACTGAGTTCATCGGACGAGTAGCCATTGTGGAATTATTAGAACACAAGCCAATCATCACAGCTGGATACTTCTGCATCTTCCATGCCCATACCACTTGTGAGGAAATTCAATTTCTTGACATGCTCGAAGTTATAGATAAGAAAACGAAAAAGAAAAAAATAAAACCCAAATTTATTAAAAATGACTGCATCGTCACTGCCCACTTTTTGCTCTCCAATCCGGTGTGCATAGAAGTGTATGACAAACTTCCGCAGTTGGGGAGATTTACTCTGCGGGATCAAGGTAAAACGATAGCGATAGGGAAGATACTGGAGCTGAAGGCGTGAGATCGGGGCCGCAGGCGGGGGGGAAGAAAAGTCTCATCAAGGAGACAAAATGATCGCGTCGCTTCCGCGGCAGAGTATGCTTCTACTTTTACATTTACTTCGAATTTGCATTCCATTTATCTTTTATCTTTTCTATTTTCTATTTTGTTTTTTCCCTTTTCCCTTTCGCGTGATCGTTTCCCCCATCGATACCCCCATTTTAAGTACTATGCCCCGCCCCCTCCACTGTTATGCGTAAAGGATGGTCCTGACTTTGCCGCGCCACGTCTCCATGCCCGGAGACCCACCTCCCCTTTTTACTCCATGTCCCTACTTTTTTCGTTCCGTCCACTGGGCCCCAAAGAAATGAAACTTATCACGATGAGTAAAAGAGGAAAAAATAAAAAATAAAAAAATATAAGTGTGCCTTTCTGCCCCGTGCGGTGTGAAGTAGTGAAAAAGATAACCCCCTCAGGGGGTCCCCCTCTTTTGCGATCCATCCCACCTTTGCCAATCCCTATAACCTGTGGCGATCCATACCACCTCTGCCTCCCTGTTCGGCGCAGCAGGGGCGAAGCGGAAGATTTCCCAAAGGGAGCAAGCATGCAGCTACGGTAGCATGCCGTCGGTGTGGCCAACTTTTGGTAATTTTAAAAATGTGCTTTTTTAAAAAAACTTGTTTTTTAATTTTGGTTTTGAAAAACGTGCATGCATTGAAAAGGATGTGTTAAGTGGGCGCTGCGTCGGTGGCTTCTTTCCCCCTTTGCGTCATCGCACGGGGAGGCAGCCCAGCCGTCCACAGGTGTGTACGCACGTTGGCATGCATGTCAGCATACGAGTTGAGGCTTCGCGGGGGTAAAAAATTGCAGCCGCGCGCGAAGAGGTAACAAATACGGGGAGGGGGGGCCACGCCGTGGTGGAGCGGCGTAACACCATCGCCAGGGTCTTCTTGCAAAAATGAGTGGTCGGCCGTCTCTTCCCCCCGGTGTGAAGAGGGAGAAAAGAAAAAAAAAAGAAAAAAAAAACTGTAAAACTATAAACGTATGAACTGCAAACGAAAAATGGTACCAGGTGTGCCATTCTGACAAATATGCGAAGGTAACAACATGTACTTTTTAAAATGCCGAGTGCAAAATGAAAAGACTAAATATAATTTTAGATGACGACGCTTGGGGGGCACACTATTCCCGTAACGTTATTAGGTGTCTTTCCAAAGTTGAGGTGTACCCCCCTCGCAAGGTTATTAGGTGCCTTTGCTAACTTGTGATGACTTCCCTCCCCCCTCACAGGTGCAGCTTCCGCTGCTTGAACAGGGCGCTGAGCAGGTTGCTGTTGCGCAGGAGGTAAAACATGATGACGGCGAAAATAAGGATCCAGATTATGCACCAGGTCGCCACTTCATTGTTATTCATTATGAGGTCCTCCTGGAGGGACAGGTCAATATTGGCGATGATTTTCTCCCGCTTCGCACTGGTCGTTTTGAGGCTCTTCGATATGACGTCCTCAAAGTATTGCGGCAAAACGAAGTAGTTATTTACAAGCTCGTACTTCTCCTTATTGTAGTGAAAATACATCGTGGGGAGGATCCAGTTGAGGATAGCCCCTTGGTAGGTATACGTATTCATAACCGTTTTAAAGGCCTCCAATTTGAGGAGATCCTTCTTGCCACTATTTACCTCCTCCAAAGTGACATTAATCTTGTCTACCATGTCTTTAGAAAGGCTATTCATATTGTCCTTGTTGTAGATCAGGTCACTTATTTCGTAATACTCATAGGATATCCGCGTCGTAACGAGGTACTTGTTAATATCCTTATTGTGACTCTTATCCGTAATGACAACACAACCATTGAAAAGAGCGTCAATCACCATCCTGTTCAGCATGCCAGCAAACTTGGAGCTGATTATACACACTTTGCTCCTTCTCAGCATTTGATGGTACTCCTTTAGCTTGTTCTTTATTAGTTTATGTGTCGTTTGCATGCCCCACACTTTCCAGTAATACAAATCGAAGTCGTATTTCTTTATTCGATGTTTGAGACTACTTACGTCTTTGTTGTAGATGTAATCCATGATCTTCTGAATTAGGAAGTCATTGTAATTGCTGGAGGTCGTGTTGCACAGGTAAAGTATGTCGATGTCTCTGTGCCTATTGCTCAGAAAGCTCGGCGCGGTATCCTTATAGGTGCATGCTGGGAGGAACAAGTCAAGAAGGGAATAGGAGAGCTCCAATTTGGGGCTGTTTTTCTTCTTCTTCATCTTCCTGGCAATGTCATGGTAAAAGGTCGGACTGACCACCACTTTCTTCGAGATGTCGTTCGGATCGTTCTCCTTCACGTCGAAGATATTTTCAAACTTCTCCACGCAGCAGGGATTCACCCCGTGGGGTAGGAATGCCCAGAGGGTTTTGTTTTCATCATCGTCGTGTTCATCCTCCTGATGGGAATCCTCCCCCCCATTGGCACTGGATGCACTCAGATCATTCGTCTTCTTCTGCTGCGTCTTCTTCTGCTGATCCTCCTCCTCATCTCCACCCATCCCATTACCTCCTCTCTTCTTCCCCTTCTTCTTATGCTTATTCGCTATCACCTCATTGGAGTCACTAATGGAGACCTTGTTCCATAGGCTGTTGACGAGCTTCCTTTTCTCCGACCCGGAGTCAATACTGTTTAGCGGGTTGTACTCAAATATGTTCACCTGGTTTTGAAAAAATATGTGAGGAAACAAATTCAAGTAGGCATTCTTCACGTTGCTATCCCATCCATCATTCATAAATATCAGGGTAGTCATTCTGGGCATACTCTTCAGAAAAAAATAATGATTATAGTACTTTGATACAAAGCTGCTGTGGACAAAAATTATGTCAAATGGCTCCCTTCCTATCTGCTTGTCATAGTTATGCAGCAGCGCGTGTAGATTCTTCGTAAAAAATAGGGGGTAGTACTTAAACCCGTAGCCCCAGATGTAGGTATTCCATTTCAGCTGACTCTCCATAATGTCGTACAAATTGAAGAAGTATCTGTCCATAGAGCTGGAGAAGGCCTTCTTCGTTGAAAGGAACAGAACACGGGGAACTCTCAATACATACTTGGATGTATCCCTCACATCCGACTTCGCATTCAAGGGGGGTAAGGGAACGAGAAACGATTCTGACTTGGCATAGGCAAAATCAACATCTTTACGAGAATGAGAAGCTCTGTATTGCTTTACCATTGTCTTCACATCTATGTTGAGGCTGTCCAGCATATACTCCAGATTGTTATAATTGATATAGGACAGAATACAATTCTTTGCCTTACTAGACAGGCAGTTACATTCATGAAGATTATCACTCTCCCCTGCGATTAACCCGCGGAGAAGTTTCTCATTTTCTAATTTGTCCTTTCTTAAAAGGTGGCTATTGATCGATCCACTTTCGACAGATTCTTTGTCATCCAGCTCGTTCACATCAGCGAACATCTCTGTCTTCTTCTCTTTCTCCTTATCACTCATTTCTTCGTAATCAGCACTGGTGTCATTTGCACTGACATATATGTGTTTTTCAAACTCATCGTCAATGTTGTACTTATGCTTAATGTCCTCCTCACTGGTTATGTCATTTAGGATTTTCCTCTCGTAGGAATACGGATTGTACTTCTCCTTCAGTGAGTCGAAAAAACTCTTCAGCTTTGAATTCTTCTCTTCCAACTCTTTGCTACTTCCAGTGACACTCGTCCCCTTACTCTTGTTTATCAAATTTTGCAATTCTCTCAGAAGATCCCTTTGACTCTGATTGGACTCTAACGTGATGGATCTTCTGTTTGCAGACCCATCCATTACACTTTTGTCTAATGCGAAAGGAGCGTTTCTGTTCTTCTCTGCGTTGAGGAAGTTTCCCAAGAGAGATTGGATGTCGCTCATCAATTTGTTGCTCGCCTCGCCTCCTTTCCCATCGGCGCCCTTATTCCCGCCGAGGTTGCCCAGAAGGCTGGTTAGGTGCTCGAGTGGATTGCCTCCCTTCCCATCGGTACCCTTATTCCCTCCCAGATTGCTCAACATACTGGTTAAGTGCTCTAATGGGTTACCACCCTTCCCATCAGCTTCCTTCTTCCCTCCTAGATTCCCCAACAAGCTGGTTATATTTTCCAGTGCGTTTCCGCCCTTCCCATCGGCACCCTTATTCCCTCCCAAATTGCCCAACAAGCTGGTTAGGTGCTCTATCGGATTGCCTCCCTTCCCGTCAGTAGCTTTGCTCCCTCCCAGATTGCTCAACAAACTGGTTAGATGCTCCATCGGGTTGCCTCCCTTCCCATCGCCTCCCTTGCTTCCACCTCCATTCATCATGTTTAGCAAATTTCCAAGAGATTCCATAGGGTTACCTTTCTGTCCATCTGCGCCGGCGCCCTTTCCAGCGCCCTGGCCAGACTCCGGCGCACCACTGTTCGCGGCTCCACCCAACTGTTTCAGCATGTCCATCATTTTGCCCATATCTAAATTATTCGAATTTGCATTTCCGCCTCCCTTATTAGTGGCGGTATTAAGAAGGTTCATAAGATTTTCCTGGCCTCCTCCTGATGAGCCCTTCTGGTTTAAAAGATTATTTAACATGTCAAGGTGGCCGCTACTATTATTTGCATTTCCACCTTTACCTCCTTTCCCGTTGAGGGAATTCAAAATGTTCCCCAGTTGGCTTAAGTCGAAGCCACCCTTCCCTGGTTTGTCCTTCCCCCCCCCTTCATCGGTGTTATTGGATTGGTTATTATCATTTGTGCAAATTACAAATACTATGATGAATGAATACAAAAATACACATCTGGTAAATATATTCATTTCTAGGAAAAAATAAAATGAATTAACATTAATGGAATGAATGATACGTGAGGGGAACAGTTTAAAAAGGGAAAAAAAAACTACTCTATCATCTGATTCAAAGAAGATATATTCTGTGTGCTCGTTAAATATAGTGTACGCCCAGGGGAAAATCACTGATGCGCAATTAGTTGCTGAGAAACCAGTGGGGTTAATCAGTCACACGAGACACCACGGACGAACGACAAGGTGCGCTCAATCAATTGAACAATCAAGTATGTACGCGAAGGGGAGGCTTTTCTTTTTTAAGACAAAAAACGGGTGATAAGGGATATGGAGAGGGGGCACATTATTTTTTTTTCATTTTTTCAACACTTAAAATGTACATAAAAAAAAAAAAAAAATTAATGGAGGCGCATAATGCTAATGATATTAGCAACTGAGGATATAATTTACAGTTTAGGGGGCGAAAGGCGCGGTTTTTCTTTTTTTTTTTTGCCTTGGGATGCGTACGCGTGTTGGCAAAATGGGTAGGGGATGGAAGAGCGTGAATGTGTACATAGGAGAAGGTACACAAACGGTGGTACGTACTCAATGGCGCATAAATTGTGGTACGTACTCGATGGCACATAAATGGTGGCACATACTCGATGGCACGTAAACTATGGTATGCACGCGAACACCAATATGCAAAGCTCATATGCAAATATACACGGGATTGAGTAAAGACTTGAATTTATCCAAGGAGCGCGCATATGCCTACATGCTCCTCTTTTGAAATTTGGCGTAATGTGCCTCCGCTGGGTGTAAAAATAAATTTCAGCAAGTGCTGCTTATTGCTAGCTTGTTTTTTCTTTTTTTTTTTTTCTCATAAATGCCTGATGCGTTCAGGTGACATTCAAAATGAAAGCACGAAACAGAATGGAACAAAATGGGCGTACAGGTAAAATGTGCTGAAAGACGCACAGCGGGATGGAACAAAATGAAGCAATGCGAACAAGGCGAACAAGGGAACGAAATAATTCAGAGAAATTCACACAACTGTGCGGGATTTACTCTGGTCATACATAACACACGGATACCGCTAATCACTTTTGACGCTTGGCACACAGCGTTGACGAGGAAGACTCCTTCAGCTTTCGTTCTCTCTCCCTCTCTATATGGTGTGGCAAATGCAACAGCGCGCATGCCTGGGCAAGGCTGCGTACATGTCACGTGCATATGTATACATATAGAGTCATATACGTAGGTATGCGGCGTGGCCGTTCCCTTACGTGTACCCGCGTGGGGCAAAGTCACAGAATGGAAAAGTGGCTAACCACGTAAAGATGCGAGCTTCTAGTAAACGCATAAGCGCATGAATGCCTAATCAGGTAGCTTCTTACGTAAGGGCAAATCACACGAACGGTATTTACAAAAAAAAAAAAAAAAAAAAAAAAAATGACCTGTTCAGGTAAATTCGAACATATGATAAATTATGTATACATCCCAAAGGGGGAAAACCAAAATTTGCGTTGTTCCCTTCACCCGAGGATATATGTAAGCATTACGGTAACTTCATCTTAAGGTGAGTTTTTCTCCTATAATGCATTCTTTTTTTTTTCTCGCTCTCCTTTAATCGTCAAATGGTTGCTAAAAAGGTGTTATAAAAAGGAATGAAAAAAAAATTTCCTGAAAAGGTAAATCCACAAAAGAGAAAATTCATGCAGGTGTATAAATTTGTCATGAAAAAAAAAAGAAATGAAGATAAAAAAATGTATTAGCATGTCATGTGAGCGAGGTATGCAAAATTAAGAGTATTCTTCTTTTTTTTTTTTCTTTTGTGGGGAATTGAGCAAACAAGTTATAGAGTACAATTTTCTATTGGGCAAACGCCCTCTGTTCGCAATCAGGTGTGCTTTCCCGCAATTGAGTAAAAATGGCAAAATGGGAAGTCAAAGGGCACCGAAACGTGTTCCCAGAAAAAAAAAAATACTTCAACCGTGGGGAGACCTGACCCTATAAGGATAAAGTATACATCCACGGAACATACGTTCGGCGTGGCAAAAGAATGGATCAACCGCGCCTGGCAAAAGGATGGAACAACAGCGCGTGGCCCGTACATAGAATGGGAAAACCGCGAAAGGTATATATGCATACCACATAATGCCATTTTATCTACATAATGTGCTCCCATGTAGATGCATTACACTCTACAGCAGAAGGTACACGAGGGCGGACTTGCTCTACGACGAGGGGGCTTCATACCTTATGCAGCTATAAATGGGCCCCATTGACCAGGTGAAAAGAAGTTATTCGCAGGGCAGAGAAAATGTGCCTTCCGTACGCGTACAAGTTGGATTACTCAAACGACATGGGACGTATGCGACAGTAGGGAAGAAAAAAAAAACCTCACAAATGCGTGCTACTCTTTTGTGGAGATGCCAATCACGATCAAAAAAAGGTGTCCATAAAAATGCCCTTCAGACGCCGTCCCGTTTCGTTCCACGCAAGTAACGCAGCAGCAACAAAATCGCAAAGTTAGCAAAGTCCACAAAGTTCGCAGAAGGGGTATGTACTATGTTTTTTACACATGTGAGATTTATAGGCAAGCTAGCGAGAAACAAACTTAACAAGAGGAGAAGCTGGATCAAGCGGAATAAAAAATGGATGCTACCTAGGGTTGAGAAATCGTACCTGAAACAGGAGCAAGACTTCATCGTGCGGTATAAAACCGTGCCGCAGGGGGGGGGGTCCCATGCACGGCTAGAAGCGGGGCGAGGTGAAGTAAAACATGAAGAAGCGAAACCTGGGGAAGGACCCACTGACTATAGACGCATCCTAGAGGAGACAACCCGAAAAGAAAAGAAGCATTTAAAACCCCATGAGTATAAGAAGCTGCTGAAGCGGAAGGATGGTAGTGGGCGCATCCCCAACGATGACAAGCTACAGCTAAAGCACCTCCTGCGTAGCGGCAAGGATGGGGGAACACACAAGGGGATACAGATAGACATAAAAGACTACAAAGATGACGAGAAGGAAAGGAAGAAAAACGAAATGAACACATTTTGGTACATGCCAAGTCCATTTGAAAAAAAAGGAGTCTATGGAATGAAAGAAAATTCTTTTTACAAATCTTTTATGAGAGATAGGGAGAGACAGCTGGACCACATCGACACGAGAAAGTTAAACGAAAGTGAACAAAAACTACTCCATGAAATGCGCAAAAGGGGGAACAATGTTAGCGACAAACTGCTCGACGAGAGTGTGACTTCCCTTGATGGGAACCAAAAAAGAGAAAGAAAAATCCGGATTAGTCCAAAAAAATATTGGTTTCACGATACGTATCGTTCCCCAGCTATCCCCACCTTGAGCACGGTAAAAGCGAGGGAATTGAGATTCCTAATGATGAACGAAGCCAAGCTAGTTAGGAAGGGCAAATCCGTGGACGTGGAATTATGGCTAGCTTTTATGAACCGAGTTCTGAATCTATCCAGCAAGGTACACGTACGGAGCCTGCTTCGATACTTACAAACCATTGCATCTGTCAAGGTGAACAATAAAAAAATGATAAGCGATATCCTGTGTGAAATTTTCAAACGAGAAAATCTCATGAAGCCAAAGCATTATGTCTATCTTTTTCAAGCATGCTCTAGATTAAAATGGTCCCACTTCCAATTAATCTATGCCCTAAAAAATATGACGTTGTGTTGGCCCATCCTCAGGAATAACTTCCTTGTCAAGTCAGCCAACTCGATAAGTAAGCTAGGGTTGGCAAAGAGTGTGTACAGTAAGTGCTTGCAAATTACGCTTTGTGAACGGCTAGCCAATTTTTCAGGGAAGAATTTGAAGGCCATCAAGGCTATTACCTTTTTGGAACTCTTCACTGAGGAGATGATTTTGAAGTTCATTTCTCTTGCTAGTTTTTACAAAGAACATTTTAACTACTACACGCGGCACCTGCAGGTGCTGCACCTGTACGTTACTCTATTCTGCCCGTCCTTGTGCGACAGACTGACGGCGGAGCAGCGGGTCTTCCTGTGGCGCTACTCGCGCGGCGCCAACTGGAAGGAGATCCGTAGTAAGGGCAGCCGTGAGTATAGCAGTGGTGAAGAGAGCGATGAGTGCGGCAGTGATGAGGACAGCGATGATTGCAGCAGTGATGAAGAGAGTGACCGGTTAAGCAGCGATGAGGAAAGCGATGATTGCAGCAGTGGTGAAGAGAGAGACGAACCATTGAGCAACCCGGGCCACCCGCCTAGCCAAACGTCCTCTCATCATGGCTCCAAAATAGGCGACAAAATACGCGGAGGGTTCACCAGCATGTTACACAAACAAATCAGTGACATCCTCACGCTGCTAAAAATCGAGCACTTGAATTCGGTTGCCTGTGGACCTTTCATAGTGGACATATATCACCCCCAGTCAAATTATATTATCGAGGTAAATGCCCCCTTCCAATATTATCTGAATTGTGAGAAACTAACAGCCTTGGCAGAATGGAGGCACAAGTTTCTGGCCCACATGGGGTTTAGGCTCATTCACATTTCGCACAAGGTGTGGAACAGCCTGCCCACTGAGAGGCAGAAAGTGGATTACCTGTCACGCGTTTTGCCGGCGGGGATGTTCAGGCGGGGGTCCCCCGGTGAGAAGCAGCTCAGTGAGGAGTACCCCAGTGAGGAGTTCACCTACGATGAATTCCCCTGTGAGGAGCTTCCTTGCGATGAATTCCCCTGTGAGGAGCTTCCCAGTTAGGAGCTTCCCTCTGAGGAGGCTCCATGTGAGTTCCCCCGTTAGCAATCCCCCCCTCGTCCTCTTTCCCCGTCCGTGTCTGTGTCCTTCCCCTCCCCTTTGTGTAACTCCTTGCTAATTAAGCCTGTGCCCTATGATGGGGTCCCCAGGCGGTCACAGCGTGGCATGGGAGAGAAGCGCACCCGTCCAGAGCGTTCCATCACCGGCAGCGTAGCAGTGAGAATGGATCCTCTTGGAGGGACACCCCCCCAAAAAGATGAATCGAGTATGCCTAAATAGAGGAAAACCCACTGAAGGAGTCCAAATTACAACTGACCAGGTGAACTTGGCAGTGTGTTCCCATGAATGTTTTTTTTTTATTATTTTATTTTTTTTCTTTTTTTTTTGGATGCCTATGCGCTGGAAAATAAGGGAGGTCATTCGGTCCAAAACTCCAACCCTCTCGTCAGCCGATACTGCAAAAGGGGAATGATTAAAAATGCTCTTCTCTTTTGCTAATCGAATTATAGCCAATGTGCTGGGCCAACGAAAAGAACCTCTCTACATGGAATAATTCTCTGAATGTGAATTCCCCTATGGGGAAGCTGCTCACTTGGGTATGTGCAATGTACTATGTATCAATTTTGCAAAAAAAAAAAAAAAAAAAAAAAAAAAATTTCACCTCTCCATGTATGACCAGTTTGCCAAACCACGACAGGTTAGGGGTATATATTTCACCAGCTCAAAAAAAAAAAAAAAAAAAATTGTCAACTAACTATTCAGGGAAAAGTGGCGAAACGGCAAAGCGACCAAGTGGCCGAGCGGCAACACGACGTTTAAGTGACCCTCCGCCCGACATTGCGATGACGCCGCGGCCGCTACGCCCCGCAACCACGACGCCACACCACCACAACGATGCAATGTTTGAAGAGGGCAGTTGTGGGGCGGCCCCGGAGACCCTCCGCCTTTCCCATCCATTCGAGAAGCCTTTTCTTAAGTCAAGGCATGCTCGCGCCAAAGGTCAAGCCAGGGAAAAAGGGACAAGATAAAAAAGATGGTCGGGGTGGAGCCACCACGGACAGTGGAGAAGAACAGAAGGCACACATCTTTAATATCTACAATACAGTCGAGAAAGACCATGAAATTTTGCCTGACCATGCATACCCCAAATGGCTGTGGGAATTAGAAAAACCGATGAAGAGCTATGGCGAGTTGGCTCTGATGTTCCTCTACGGAAAGGTGAAACGAGCAGCAGAGAAAGAAAATGATAAATGTGAATGGGTTACACACTAAAGAGAGCGCGGTGAGGCCATGCCCCTTGTTTCAAAATAAACTGCGAAATGGGGTCACACTGATGAGCGAACATAAGAATAGCCACATATATGTACCCGTTTCCGTGACACATGGGAAAAACCTACGTGTAACACCTTTAATCCAGTGCATTTGCTCATCGCGTGGACAATTTTCGTCTTGCTTCTTTTTCCTTTAGAATGTTGAAAAGGCCACGGCAGATGATTACCATCGCTTTCGCAGGCTGCACAACAAGAATCTAATCAAACTGAACAACATGAGGCTGAAGAAGTCCAAGCGGTCGACGGTTAAGCCGATTTTTTGGGACCTCTAGGTGGAGGCGCAGCAGAGTGGGAGCCTCGTCTTGGCCAGGAGCACCACATTGCAGAGCTGTACGGCGCCCTGACGTGTTGTGCCGATTGAGGAGTTGTTTTTCTTTTTCTTTTTGCCCGTTTTGCTTGGGGCCCCAGCCAGTAGGGTAAATCGCTCGTCTGCACACACGTAGATAATGTGTATTCATGTATGTATTTATAAATGTCCCTGTTTATGCCTTTCTTTTTTTTTTCCCCTGTTACCTCTTCCTATCGTGACAACTCCAATGTGACGCACCAAGGTGTGGACGCAGGGAGGGGACTCCCCTGAAGGGGCCCTTTTTCCCGAATGGATTTTCAAACCATCGCTGTAACCGGTTCACAAAATGGAAAACTGCTAAACGCTTGGGGAACGGACATATGCCTCCCATCGCGCAGGGCAAAAAAAAAAAAAAAAAAAAAATTACATCCCTGACGCGTGTTCTATACTGAATTATCCGCTTGGGCATACAGGAGATGCCATCTTCTCCATTGCTAAAGTCCAGAGGTTGATTCTTTTTCGTGCCCGGAGTTGTTCCGCACCGCCCGGGGGAGTGGCGAGGCGGTTAAACGGGAAAAGGAAGAGAAAAAATAAAAAAATAGCGAAATAAAGAGCTAAAAAAATAACCGAACGGCAAAATGACGAAACACATGCTATCGAATGAATGAGGCCAAATAACACCGACCAAGTAGTGCCAGTCGAGCAAAACCAAAGTTCAGATCGAGAGAACTTCCATGCGCGTGATACAACACGGAGCGGCTCATCCAGATCGTCTTCGCCCGTCAACCGAAGCGGAGGAACGATCCGCGGCCCCTTTTCTGTGCAGATCATCAGTCGGCACGCACCTTCCCAATTTGGCAACCTCCCCCGGGACAAAATTAACTACTCTTTTGGGAACACGCTAGAAACGAGTGGATGTCCACACCTAGTTATGAGAGCACTCTTAAGGGAAAAATAGGACACTTCAAATCGAGGCGCTGGAATGCAAGACAAACGGAGACCAAACCCCTTTTCTCGTTTTTTTCCTCATGAGCGCAGTTAAGAAGGATCTAATCTGGATATTTCCCTCGCCCTGCGGTCGAAACGTCATACATATGCATTATATATATGGACCCCTAACGGGGCAAGCGCGGTGCTGCTAGGGAGAGGTGCGGAAAGAGGACAAATGTGTACACAATGACCTTCCCCAGCAAAAGGAAACTGGTAAAGGCGGAGCAGTTCACCGAGAAGAAGAGGGCGAATGCGCGGGGGATAGTGAAGGCCGAAGGGGAGTCAGTGGGCGGTGCAGTAGCAGATGCGGTGGATGCGGCAGTTGTGAGTGCCCCCCCCGTGGGGAGAGAAGGTAGCGGGTCGGCCATCGCCTGCTCGATCCCGCACGGGAGTCGGCTGAAGAAGGGGGCCATAATCGAAATCACGGTATTCAACTGGATGGTGTTTAGCGGGCCGGTGACGCTGAAGGCAGAAGAAGGAATAAACCTGATCGCAGCCGCAAACGCAAGCGGGAAGTCCTCCCTCGTGTGTGCCCTTGTCTTTGGCCTAGGCTACAACTCGAATATCCTCTCGAGGAGCAAAGACCTAATCAATTACATAAAAAAGGGAGAAAAAAAAAGTTTCATTGAAATTAAGTTAAAGAAAGACGAAAGGACAAACACGACGATAAAGAGAATTATGAACATAACTCAGAATAAGTTGGAGACATTCTGGTTCGTCAACTGCAAAAAGGTTAACCAGACAGACATACAGGAGCTACAGAAGGAGTTCCATCTCAACTTAGGCAATTTGATAACATTCATGCCACAAGAAAATGTAAGTCGATTCTCTAGGCTAACCCCAGAGGAGCTATTCGAGTGCACTCTCATGGCGATTGATAAGAATCTACTAGACAGATATCATCACTTAAAGAAACTGATAAGGGAGAAGAAGGAGGGAGAGCACAACATGCAGTTGCTGGAACATCAAGTGAAGGAGGAAGAAAAACTTATAATCGATTTGGAAGAAAAAAAAGGGAAATTTGAAAGCTTCAAAAAGTTACTAGCCAAAGTTAGAACATATCGAGTGAAAAAATCCATTATGGTTATGAATGTCAAAAAAAAGCAGCTCGAAGAAGTGAGAGGAAATTTGGACTCCCTCGTGAAGGAGAAAAATGCACACTTCGAGACGCTGAGGCAGTACCTATCCGAAGTGGAGAAGTGTCACAAGGTGATTAATCATCTGTCTGAGAAACTCTACAAAGAGAAGAAAAAAATCAAGGAGGCAACAACGCGATATATCAAGATAAATGTCCAATTGGACGAAATAGAGGCGCAAATTGTCAGCGAGGAGAAGGTCATGGAAGACGCGGTACAACACATGCACGAAAATGAGGAGCATATAAAAAACTTGGACAAAAAGAAAAAAAAAATTGAGGAAGAGCTAGACCAGATAGAACAATTCTTTCGTCAAAGGGCCACACAAATGGGGATCCAAAAGGGAGATGATGATACGGAGGTGTCAGAAAAGGCACTCCAAGAGGAACTAAAAGACATGGCCAACAAGAATAAGCAGTTCCTGATGAGGAAGTACGCACTGCAGACGGAGCATGCGTCCCTCATGGGGAAGCTACAAAAAAGGCAGAACTATCAGAACATACAGGAGGAGAAGTTCCTAAATAGCATAGAGTTTACACTACGTGAAAGGATCTTGAATTATAAAAGGAACATAAAAAGCATTGTACTGACACACCAGCTGTTAAGCCAATCGTTTTTAGAGGACCTAAAGAAAAAGTATGACTTATCTAAGATCACAAGTCAGAACGAAATGAATGGAGAGATTATCGCTGAGTTATCCAAGCGGAACATCATTTATGGACCACTCTGCAAATATATCAAATGCATCAATCCGCAGTTCGATTACGTGCTGGAGTTTTCCCTAAAAAAGTACTTCAATAGTTTTCTTCTCATCGAGAAGGAAAATACATCCCTGCTGGAGTCTCTCTACAAGGATTATAAGCTATCCGTGATTACCATGTCGAAGGAGAATCACAAATTGTGCCACGTGACCAACGAAATGAGAGAGCATGGGGTGGAATGTTTCATTTATGAGTTATTTGAAAGCCCTCAGATTGTAAAAAATGGACTTATGAATTTCATCCCTATCAATATCGCCTTCGTACTCCGAGAGGGAACTTTTAAAAACAAGACTACGAAGGAAATAACCCATTTTAACAATTTCATGTTGGAAGAGATTTCCAGACAGATCAATGAACAGGTCGGTAGTCTCCTCTATTTCTGTGAACAAAATGTGCATCGATACAGGATAAGTACGTACAATCAGAATGTCTTTATCGACAACTTCACCTTCATAGAGAGGAAGTGCAAAATATTATACTACATCAGCTCGGAGGTGAAAAAAGACATTCATATGTTGGAGAAAAGGAGGAAAGAATGCGAATCCGAGATGCACACATTGAAGAAGAATATGGACGAATTGGATGTCTTGAAGAAGAAGAAAAATGATCAGTACAATAACCTCATTCTACAAAGAAGTGAGGTCAACATTAGGAAAAAGAAAAAATTGCTTCTACTTAGGGAACTTCGAACCGTGGAGGAGAATCTGAACCTGTACCTCAAGGGGGAACAACTCATTGATGAGAAAAAAAATAAAATAACCATACGGATTAACCATCTGAATGAGAAGAAGATAAAGCTTTGTAGCGATTACTTTGACACACTGAAAGGACACAAAGGCAACGACATGGAAGCCTTTTCCCTCGGGAGGAGACTCTCCCAGTGGAAAAAATACCTCTCCCTCGTCAAGAGCCAAAACGCAGAAAGTGAGCAAAAACACCAAATGCTGAAATCACAGATTGATCTGGAGAACACCAAACATGCTGCCCTCATCCACGATATTGACGATCTGCAAAATCTGGTGAAGGTACAGAAGGCAGAACTCTGCAAGGAGGAAATCAAATCGCTCAACGAGATTAAAGTCTCCCTCGACGAGATCGATAACATTCTCCAGGAATGTGCCATTCAACAGAGGATCTATAACAACTTAGAAAAAAATGAGGAGAAATATAATATGCTCGTTTCATCCATAGAACGCCACAATGAAAATGTGAGACAAAAAAAGGAACAGATAATTAACCTGGGAAAGGAACTCGAAATGCATAGCAAGCAAATTCAGTTCGTCCTCTCCAATTGGGTAAATCAAATCGATGAATGTATCCTCTTCCTAAATCATAACTTAGGCAAATTTATAGCCTTTATAAACCCCGACTATGGTGCAAAAATCGAACTGGCTAAAAAAAACGACCTTTTTGAACGATGCGAATTGTACATAAAAGTGAAGTTTAAAAAGACGGCTCCATTTTTGCTACTCTCCGTTTCGCATCAATCCGGGGGGGAACGCTCCCTCACCACAATGCTGTACATCCTATCCATTCAGAAACTAACAAAGAATGGCTTCTACGTATTGGACGAACTGAACCAGGGGCTCGACCACACCAACGAGAAGAAGATTTTTGAGCTGCTCTCCTGCCTCAGCAACCCCTCCATGTATAAGCAGCACTTCATGCACCACTACGATTATAAGCACATCCAAATTGACTACCAGTCGAAGCCACAGTACTTCATTTTGACGCCCCAGATAATTCGGGACATCTTCTTCAAGGACATCACGGTGCACTACCTCTTCAACGGCTTCGGCGTCCTCCCCGGCCAGTTCGACGAGGCGGTCGACGGAGCGGTGGACAACTTCTAGACCGGGGACCAGCCGCACCTCCTGCTCATGACACGTAGGAGGCTTGCCCTTTTTTGCTTCTCCTTTTTTTGTTAACTTTTTCGCTTCGCCTTTTCGCTTCACTTTCTTTTCCCTTAAGTAATCTTCCCATAATTCGCAGTAGCCACCGCGTGATCACTCCGTTGTGCGAAGGGGCATCATAGGTAGCTTCCCTCGTCAACCCCTCTCCTGGGGTGAACTCACGCGCAGGAGTCCCTTTCCACTAGCGCGGTTTGTCCTATTCGTATCTTCACGCTTGCTACGCGGCACTACAGGGGGGTTCTTCCCCCCTCCAGACTTTTTCGGATATCCCTGTCCTCCACATCATGCTGGCACCTCCAAACGGAAAGTAGTGACACAAAAGGGGTGATTTAGGACAATCGAGGAAAAAAAAAAAACCGCACCATTTCAATATGGCGGGTGAACGAATGCATGAAAATTAGGCGAGTTGCAAATGTTCCCTTTTGTTTTTTTTTTTTTTTCTCGAATACGAAGTCATCCGCATTCGGGGCGACGATGCTACATATTATCCTCCTCTGAGGCTTACCCAATTTGGCGGTGCCACGCCAATGTATGCCCTCCCGCCTGGCACGTTGCTTTTTCTCTTCTCATCGCTGCGTAACGGTTTGGGAAAAAAAAAAGGTTACAGTTTGGTTTTTTTTTCCCGCGCCGCATTTTGGGTTACGTACCGCTGTTCGTTGTTTATGCGACGAGTTAAAAAAAAAAAAATAGAATAAAATAAAATAAAAATTAACCAAGCGAAAGGACTAACAGAACAGCATCAGAAGCGATAAACTCTCGCATAAGCACAAAGAACAGCATCGAAAGCAATTTTGCAGCCCCCCCACCGGCCAAGTGGATGAACAGATTTTCCCCCGATCTGACCAAAACAACCTGGCAAGTGGGGTAACAGGACCAACGACGGAACGGGAAAGATAATAGAAGAGGAGTGCAGGAAGAAAGTGCGGGAGGATGGTGTAGCAAGAGAGCATAGCAGAGGACGACATTCCCGAGGATCCACATCTACGCTGCATATATAAAAAAAAAAAAAAAAAACTATCTCTTTAGCTTGCCACTCCCTGTCAAACGGGGGAGTCAATCAAACAAGCGACGTTGGAAGGAACCACGAGTTGAGAATCAGCAGGAGGCCTTTAACCATTCCTCTGAATGTTCGAGCGCACCCCCCTCGGAACAAGCAGCGACAAACATATATCCATATATATATGTTGACCGATAGATATAGTTCTGTGTACCTTCTGCATACCCACTGTGAGCGCGTTTTCTCCAACATGTCAGACACCGTGGTGTCGACGGACGCTTTAAACACCGCGGGTGTTGCAGAGGACGACGACGTGAATGCCAAGATTTTCCCCTTGGCCTCCCCGGAGCTGACGAATCAAATTCTCGATGTTATACAGAGGGCAACTGTGTATAGGCAGTTAAAGAGGGGAGCCAACGAAGGTAAAAAAGGAAATCCACTTCACATACTTTGAATAAGCTCCTTTGGGATGGTCTACTGTACGTTATGCATACCATGTTGACATGTACCGCTGCTAAGAGGACAGGGTTTACTTTTCTTTTTTTTTTTTTCTTTCCTCCGCGCAGCTGTGAAAAGTCTCCACAAAGGGATATCCGAGTTGGTGGTTCTCGCTGCCGATGCGAAGCCACTGGAAATTATATCGCACATTCCGCTTGTTTGCGAAGACAAGGTGGGTTCTGCTAATCTATTTATTTCAGTTTCTTTTTGTGCGAGCTAAGTCGTGTGAAGGGTTTGACTTGACTCGGATTGGTCGCGTCCGCCGGAATGCGCAACCGTTTCTTTTTCTCACCGTTTTGCTTGCACACATTTCTCCTTATTTTTTTGCTACCTCCGTCCCCCTTTCTCAGAACACCCCGTACGTCTACGTTCGCAGTAAGATGGCACTCGGCAGAGCCTGCGGAATATCCAGATCAGTTATAGCCACGTCGATAATCACGAAGGATGGATCCCCCCTCGAGACGCAGATAACCGAGCTGAAGGACCTCATTGAGCAGATGCTCATTTAGTTTTTTATTTTATCTTATTTTATTTTTTATTTTATTTTTTTATTCTTTTTTTTATTTTTTTTTTTTTTTATTATTTCTCCCCCCCTTCGTTTGGCGGATTGCCTCCTGCATAGGCTTCACCCCCCCAATGCGTTATGGTTATAGTTTGAAACGGCTTCCTTTTTTTCCTCTTTTTTTTCCTCTTTTTTTTTCTTTTTTTCTTTCTTTCATTTTTTTGCCGAATGTAAAGTTAATTTGTGTGGTCCACTTATGCAGTAGGAATTGTGTGAGTCCGCTCTGCACGAAGCACAGCAACTAAATGTGTAGTGTCATCTCCATCGGACAGTGTCGTAAATCCCCCCCCCAGAACGCTGTCTCAAAGTCCCATCTTAATAATTTTTCTCTTTCAAGGGGTCACTCTGTTGCAAGTCCCTTTGATCTGTGCATGCCGATGAGCAACATGGGCCTGTTCCCGATGCACATGAGTGTACGGGTAGGTTCGCGTGGGAACAGGTCAGCCAACTTTGCGGGCTACCGTCAAGCGGAGAAAACGCCAAAGGTCGGCACAACTTAAGCAAAAAAAAAAAAAAAAAGGACAAGGACTTCGCTAAGAAGATGGCAAAACTACGCGGCATACATCCTCTTTCGCTGCGCTGGGAGGAAGAGTATACCACGCAAAGCCGCTTCTCTGAGAAAAGAAAAAAAAAATCTGTGATATTTGTCACCCATGGGTATGCAAAAGGAACATGAGAGAACGCGCGGAACGGGCTGTGCGGCAGCGCGAAAAGGAAGGCCATACGGAAGCGCCTGGCGGAAGTGCGCATACGTGGGCTACATACAAAGGCTTATTCGTTGCTCTCCCTTCTTTATGTTTCATTCCGCGAGCATCCCTCCCCTAGCGGCGCGTTAAAAATTATCTACTTGATCTCCCTTTTTCTCTTTTAATTCTAATTTTTTTTTTTTTTTGCCTTCTTTCACGTTCTGACCTGGAAAACTTTTTTTTTCTTTTTTTGTTTTTGGGATCATAAAGGAATTCACCTTCCTGTCCCTCGGCGCACTCGCCCCTTTAGGTATATATCAAGTTATGTATGGGGGGCCCCAACGCGCATTTTCACCCCTCTGCCGTTTACCTTTTTCAATAAAATATGATGATTTTATTAGTGCCCCTTCAACCAAGGAAAAAAAAAAAAAAAAACTTTTGCGCTGATGAATGCAAGCAGCAATAGCAGCGGTTAAACATCTCAGTGCAGCAGAAAGGGGTGCCACTCTGATCAGGCCATCGTTCGTCCAAGAGTGCATACTCATAGGCATACCCATAGGCATACGTATAAGCATAGGAATACATATATACACACTAGTCATTACTTAAATATAATTATACCAAGGCGATGCAAACACGGGCGACACGCGCAGGAGTGTAACCTTCTGCCTGTGAGTCCCCCTCGTACGCTTCGCTTATTCTCGCCCCCTTTGTAACTAGTCAAAGGAAAAGAAAATAATTTTATTTTATTTTTTTTTTTTTTCCTATAATAATATTATAAATGGAAGAACAAATTTCAGTGTACACATTGTCCTAGACGCTTGCGCACGTATCGCACATACCTTCCCTCGCCCCCCTTGGGTGTTCTCAACCTGCAGTGCGCTTCGTCGCACCTTTTTTTAATTAGTTTTAATGCAAAAGTTATATTTGTTCCTCCTCCCGTTTTTCCCGTCTTTCCGTGAGTTTCTTTCACTCGTCTTTTCCGTTTTTCTGTGCTACTGTGTCCCCGCCCTATGTCTACTGCGCCTGTGAATGATTCATCGTCCCCCCGTGCATTCCATATGAAGTACCAGCTCCGTACACATGCAGTAGGTATTTACTTTTCCTTCCACTTTGTACGTACCGCTCCACCGTAATAATAATTTTATGCATTCTTTATTTTTTTTTTTTCCACAACGCACGAGTCCTACCATTCTGCGTCGTTCTTTTTTTGTTTTTTTTAATTATTTTTTTTTTTTTTTTTTTTTTTTTTTTTTTTGTGCATGGAATGACTGTGTCTGTTCCTCTCATGGGTCACTTCTATGTGTTAGCAAAATCGTGTCCTCCCTCCGTAGCTACATAATTGGGTATCTCCCAGCAGTTCCCTACGCTACACGGGGGATACACATGCGTCAAATGTGTCATCTGCGTCAAATGCCTCCCTCGACTGCAAGTCGTCACCTCCGCTTGCCTGTGTCATCCCCTCTTCCCCATTGTGCCATGTAGCGATGAGCAAATGACACTCCTCGTGATCGCCCTGACATACTTATAGCTGAGAAGCCCTCGCGTGCTTATGAACCATAGTGAGATTCCCGTTAGGAGGAGAAACTCCCCCCCCTTACCCCTCCACCTTGCTGCTGCTTCCAAAATGAAAGTCGCCGTTGTATCCGTGCTGTTGCCTCTGCTATTTCTGGGCCTCTTCCTAAAATCGAAGGAGCCGGAGGTGCTCCTCTCCTATGGACAATCCGTAAAGAACACCTTCAAAGAAATATTGCTCTATTTTAACATTTTCGACATCGAGTTCCCAGAAAGCTATGTCCTAAACCAGAAAATGCTGGGCCTACACGTGAAGGATATAGAAAAGGACGCATATACAGCATTCCCAATTCTGAGAGAGCTAAAGCAGAAGGATTATTTTCGTATCTTCAAGGTTAACCTGCACATACCATGCAAATTTCTCAAGGTAAATGAAAAATGCAAAGAAATAAAAAAGTGCAGTGTGTGTGAATGTCACGATGATGAGATCCCATCCAACTTTCGGACCAATGAAATTGAGATTATTGAAGATAAAATGACCACTGAAGATTTGAAGAAGACTTTTATTGAGAGCAAACTGTACAAAGACATCCTAGGCATTTATGCTCCCTCCGATGAGGGCTTTCTCTCCTATGTGGACTTGGTCTATAACTCTCCCTCCTTCACAGCCTACGAGGGGAGGAACATCTGGTAACGTCTCAACCAGTGCTACAAGGCATCTCCACAATGTCGCATTTTTGTACGAACCGCTCCCTGTAGTGTATATGCCTGTTGCACTTCTTTACCGCTTCTCACTTCTCCATTGACAGGAACAAAATTTACCGGGAAAACTGCTTCCAGAAGGAGGAAAACATGTGCCACGAAATGAATAGCTTCTACAAGATCATCTCCGGTATGCAGTCTAACATCGCCATCTTGTCAGCCGAGTACCACTACCTCAAAAACGACTTCCTCTTTGGTGACATGCACACGGAGGATGTAATGAAAAGCGACCATTTTAAGAAGCAGAATTATGAATACAACATGCAGTTCTTCAAGGAGAAGATTGCTCTCTATCCGGAGAGGATTGAGAACCTGTATTTCACGTTTGCCATTTTGCTCAGGGCCATGTGCAGGCTCAAGTCGCTTGTCAGTCAGTGCAAGTGTAACTCGGGTGAGAGACGAGGGAGACAGTGGCGGCGCGGCCAGCGTGCAAACTATGCTGCTTCGTGGCGGCGTGGCTTCGTAACAACCCCGCTTCGTAACGGCACTGTTTCTTAACCACACCGCTTCATAACCACACCTCTTCGTGAGAGCGTGGCTTCTTAACAACACCGCTTCTCCCCCCCCGCAGGCCACGCACAGAACGACAAGGAGGCCCTCAAGGTGCTCAACGACCTGCTAGGCAGCTTCTACCATTCGTGTTCGTCAGAAGAATTCCTCGAGCCTATCTTCCCAACACAGGGGAAGGAAATACTAGCCAAGTTTGTGAACATAACGAATATTCTGGACTGCGTGCCTTGTGTGAAGTGTCGTCTGCATGGCAAGCTGAAGACCACCGCTCTGCAGATAGCCTTGGTGGTAAGTCCAACGGGAGGCAGGACGGGGTTTCCCCCCATGTACCTACCGATGTACCTGTGTAGGGACAGCGCCTATGTGTTCACTTCCTTCCACACATGAGCGCATTTCTCTTTGTCACCACAGGAAGGGATGAGTTACGAGCACATCGGGTCCCTGGAGCGAAACGAAATTACGGCGCTGATCAACTCTCTGTACTACTTCGCCGATTCGATTATCATCCTAAATAAGTAAGTTGCACCCCCCACTTGGCTATGTGTGCGTATTTTCCGCTTCACTTTACCGTACCCGTCGTAGTTCCTCCCACAATTATGTCCGCTTTCCCCATCGCGCAGGTTCGAAGAGAGGCAGAAACTGAGAAGAGCCACGTTCATTTTTTACCTCCTCGCGTTTTGTCTCTTCCTGATCTTAATGATATACTCCGTCATTTTTATCACCGTGCGGAATTGTAAGAAAATGAAGAAGAAGAGAAAAATAAGCTAACGGGGTGAGGGCGCGGTGGAACAGAGCACGCCAGGACCAAGCTTCACTCAGATGAGTTACGCAAGAGCAGCGCGCCTGCCATAGAAGTATACTTACCTTTTGATCGCTCCCGCATGTGCACCCCTCTGCTCACAAGAAGGAGCTTCCACCTGGAAATTCAACTTTTCTAACGCATCATGAATTAAGAAGTTTACGGTTGACAAAAAAAAAAAAAAAAGGAGCGGACTGTGGAGCGATGAAAAAAAAATAGAAGACCAGATCGCCCATCTAGTCATATCTTTGCCTTGGCTAAGTAAAACGACTTCCTTTGGGAGGAGACGTCACTCAGAATTGTTCACCTCCCCCGGTTTGTGCACCCCACATAACGACACGCTCGTGTCGTGTGGACACGTTAATGTCTCCCCCGAATGTCGAGACAAAATTGCTGATTGGTCAAGGGGCGAATGGCGGGGATAGACCCCCCCACAAGACGCATGAGAATGCGTCAGGGAGCCCTTTCGTATTCTTTCGACACGTATGCGTACGGCTGGCTAAAGAATCTCTCGCGCACTTCCATACGTTTTGTGGGTGTGTCTATCCCCTCCATCCGCCCCTTCACCTCTCCCCCTCGTATGTCTTCACCTCCACCCTGCTGATGATGCATCTTCACGAAAATGCATGTCTCCCCTCCGTTTCATTTCTCTAACTTGTAACTCAGTAATTCAGTAGTACAAAAATAATTTGGTAGATTTTTACAAAATTGGTAAAGTTTGCCCCGTTTGGGCTATCTCTAGATTGAACGCAGAGATTGTCCCCCTATCGGTTGAGAGGCTGCTACTCACCGCTTACTAGAAGCTACCCCTCGCTGAGAAGCTGCTACCCCCTTGTGTGTATCTCCATCTTCCCGTCAGCGCCCGTAAACAAAATATAATTGCAGGAGCTATTTGCACTGTCGCCCTCACTGTGGACAGCGGAATCTCCCAACCAGTCAGGGTGATTAATAAACGAAATGTATGACGGGCTGAAGGAACATCTGGAGGTGAAAACATTCGTTCTGCCAGATCCCGTCACAGGATTGCCATCATCATCCCCCTCAAGAGGGTCATTAGGAAGGTTCCAAGAATGTATCGACTCAAAAAAGATATCTCCCACCGTGTTAACTGCACATAACTGTTGCCTGTCGTCACAGCTAGCTGTGATGAGGAAGCTGCTTCCGCTTTGGTCTCTGCTTCCACTTCTGCTATTTCTTCTGCACTCTGTGGGTCTGGTCGAAAGATCATTCACCCAGTTGTCCCCCCTAATGTCATAAAAATAAAAGTTACTATTCCTGTCTAGGCTAAAGATGGTATTATCATTGATGAGAGAGCAGTAAATGATTCTGTTTGAATTTTTTAAAAAAGTCGAATTCAGATTTTTTTTCATTTTTTTGTCAAAAAGGTACTGCGGGGTCAGATAATTTACGGTGATGTAACTTTGCTCGTATACCTTCTGAATCGTTTTGTAGAAACGTCTCACTTTCTCATTGTCGTAGAGGTGAAAAAACCTTCCGGACCCCAGTGCACTACTACCCCCCTTTGGGGGCATTTTGCCGCTTCCCCGGTGCCCACTCACCAGGTTGCTCTTCCCATTGAGGCTACCCAATTGAAGCTTCCTCCGCGGAACCCGTATGTCGAAGAGCTTGAATCCATCCGAGTAAGTAAACAGAAGCTTATTTTTTAGCTGCACGAATTTCACAGGTTCGGTGAAATTGTCATATATTTGTAAACTCTGGAAATCCCTCTCAATGCTTAGCAGTTGCACCGTTTCGTCTGCCGACCCTGTCGCGAGGTAGCTGTCAAAAAAGCTCATGCTGTTTACCGTGTCGTTATGCAATTTCCTCGTGATCATTTCGCTGTAAATGTTTGCGCTAAGGAGAAAATCCTTTTTCCTTCGCTTCCCTTTGGTATTCTTCCCCCCCATGTGTGAGTCATACTCAAACACGTCGTCGAAGGAGGACAGCAGCGAGTGACTGGAGTCGCTGAGCGGGATACTCGAGTCGTCGGACAGGGCGCCAGCATCCCCGGGATTAGCGGAGTGCCTTACATTGGCGGCACCCTCGTGAGCCTTTGAATCGACCTGCGCATCTCCCTTGGGGGACGTCGACCCGCTGGATGCTGCCACGCCTGGCCGCCCCGTTCGTGACGCACCCTCCTCGTTCGCCTTCAAAATGCTCTGCGGATTTAGTAAGAGAACATTTCCGTTGGAAGTCCCTATGAGGTACTTCCCCTGCGTGCTGGTAACGCACGAGAAGTTTTCGTCCCCAATTTTTAACGAAATCAAATTGGCGTTCTTCCTCATTTCGCTCCTAATTAGATCCTTGTGAGTGATTATTTTTATGAATCCATTGTTACAGACGAAGCAGACGTTTGAGCTGTTGTGCGAAACTCCTTTGACAACACAGGGGAAATGGTCGCTTCTATGTAGTTTCCAGTGGTTTTTTTTTAAATACTCTCCATAGGCTTCCTTTTCTGATTCCCTCTTCCGCGTGTACTTGGTGTTGGTTCTGTCCTCCACAAGGGGAGTGCTTCCCGCGGTGCCTCGTCGTTTGTTCTTGCCCCGGAGGGGATCCTGCGCGGCCTCCTCGCTAGCCCCATCAGGAAGGACGATTCCCTCAAGGGGTCCCTCATCAGGGTAATCCTCGTCGTAGTGGCGTTCTCGCTCCTCTTCCGCTTCGTAGTTGTCATGGTCTGTTTCATCGTCATCGTCCCCTTCCTCATCCTCGTCGTCATCATCCTCCTCCTCTTGGGTCACGTTCGCGCCCCCCACGACGGGTCTGCGACTGAGCAACCTCCTGCGCATTTTCAAGTCTTTCCTTCGCTTGCGTTTGAAGTACAAATCGCGCAGCACTTGCTTAAACACGGGAGAGTAGTACCAGGGTGAGTTACTAATATCCTCACGGTACTTAAACGTGACGGAGGATTTCCTACAAACATGGTGTTCTCTAAAAATCTGAAAAGGGCATTGTCCAAATTCATGCAGCTGTGTTTTCAAGGCTTTGGAAGGCATAGTCGTAATGAGAGATTTAATTTTATCGTTAAAGTTTCTCTCAAATTCTTCTTCCTCCTCCTGTCTGATTCTCTCCCGATGAGATTTATAGTTGGCAGTGGAGAGTTTCTCATTCAGGATGGTATGCATATAGGTAAGGGGGTGAAAGAGGTTGAAATTTTCCTTCGCGATTTGTCCATACTGCTTATATCCGAAAATTAGATTAATCCATTCGTTGAGATGCTTATTAGCATAGTTACTCTCCAGGGCATTTTTCATCTTGGTTAAGAAGTCTTTCGCGGAGGAAGACCATTTGGGAAGAATGACATCGTGTATATTTCCCTCGTTTGAGCTAATGTTAAGGAGATTTTTTAAAAAATGATCATTGTCTTCATAAAACTCGGGGATGAGTTCGATGAAGGACGAATTTGCATTCAGAGCAGTGTTGAAGGTGCCCTCAATGGAGAGGAATATCCTAGACAGCGTGTCAAACTTGCCACTCTGCAGCTTTAATTGACATTCAGGATGTAGCCGAATGAGGAAGTAGACAACATATGCCAGGGTAGAGTAATGGGAACCATAGAAATAATCATGGTCCTGCATTTTCTCAATCAAGGAATTTAGCCTATCTGTGTTGAGACATCCCACTGGTTTCCTCAGATTTCTAAACATCGAATCATCACTGAGGTTTAGTTCTTCTCTCTCGTAATCACAAAGGATCCATGGAAAAACAGGGTACTGAGAGAAGTCTTTCCTGCTCCTTCCAGCAACACAGTTAATGAAATCGATATACTCATAATTGGATATCGCCCCTCCTTCCCACTTCTTCTGAATAGCATACAGAAAATCGTTGTTCTCTTCGATGAAGAAGCATTGAGGGTTAATCTTTTTCAGGACGGAGATTATCTGCTCTCTATCACCAAAGTTCATGAACTCCACGTAGAGCGAGCTGTACTTCTTTTTACTCTCATGGTCGAAAATGATTTCCAGCGCGTTTGGCTTCATTATTATAATTCTCTTAAACACATGAAGAATCGATTCTGTTTTCCATTTTTTCTCCTTCTTATTTGTAAAGTTAGGATTGGCTTGGAAGTAGATAAACTTGTTCGTTATATTTAGTAGCCCCTTTGTTCTTAGTAGAGGTGATATTTTAAAAACCCAGTATCCTTCCATCCGATTTGTGATGATTTTTTCGTGCAGACCAATACTACTTATATCGAATTTTACATTTTCGGTCAGCTTCTCCATCATCCTTTCGATGTACTTCTCCGGGTGTATTTCCCTCACGGTGGGTAGCGGCGGTGATGCGCTTCCCTTTTGCGTACCGCTTTGCAATGTGAGGCTCGTCCCGATTGCTCCGTTTTCATATCTGCTGTCATGCCTGCTTTCCCCCTGAGCGTGGTGTGGAAGGAGGCCTTCTCCTCTCCCTCCTCCCACGCTACCCCCCTCCTCCTGCTTCCTCTTCTTCTCCTTTATGAGGATCTCCATCTGCTTCTCGTGCACCACCATGGCGATTTTTATCTTCACCATTATGTCGTACACCTCTCTCAGCTTCTTCGCACTGTTTGCCGCGCCGTCGCATTGGAAGAAGTACACGAAGGAGGCTACCCCAGTGCCGCTTCCACTAACAGAAGTGTTGACGCCGCTGCTCGACGCGCTACCCACGGGGGAAGGCCCTTCCTCGTTCTCGTCAAAGCTGTTAAGTATCCTCTCAAACAGAGGGATCTTCTCATCTATGTTGTCATTATCAATCCCGCGGATCTCCTCGTAGTACTCATTGTACAGGCTGTTCATAACGTTAAGCACGCGTCTATGCTTCCGGTCGTAGGTGAACTGAGACGTGCACCTCGTCTTCCTGCCATGCACAATCGTCTTCATCTTTATTACTTCTGACGCCTTGATTATGATATCCTTCCCCAGGGCTCCAATCTTCGCGTTCTCCATCTTCTTAAAGGGGAACTTCAAAACAGGCTCCTCCACGCTGTGCGGCTCGAACACCAGCGACTTGGAGCACAGTCGCAACCTCCCGCGGGTGGTAACCCATTGCTGTGTTGCGGTTAGTGGCTGTGTTGCGGTTAGCGGCTGTGTCGCGGTCAGCTGCTCTGTCGAGGCCAACTGCTGTGTCGAAGACTGCCTCCTCCGCATCGTTATCAGCATGTCATCCATGTACTCCTCGTCCTCCTCCAGGAAAAGCAAATTGAAGCACCTCGCCGGCGACTTATCCATTTTGCCATCGCCGACGTTGAGGAGGAGCTCGCGGTTGTCGTCGCGGTATCCCTCGAGGTAGCCGTCACGGGGACCCTCGCATAAGTTGCAAAACAGGTGCGAGATTGTTGATTGTTACTCGCACGACTGGGAGAAACTCCCTCGTAGGGGTGATTATGATGCCTTCCTGTACACGAGAGGAAAGCCCTTGCCCCCCCCATTCGTGGCGCCGGCTCACTTCTCACGCAGTGGCTCAACCCATGCCATTCAAAACTTCCAAGCGGTGAAGGGTTGGCAAAAAAGAGGCAAGTCCCCCCCACGTGGTTTTTAGTAAGTACAAACAGGGGAAAGTACGCGGCATGTAAATGAGCAGCGAGCCCTTACATGGCATATAAATGAACAGAGACCCCTTCACGCGCCGTGGTACACCCTCGCATAATGGTATGCCGTTTGCAGCGTTCTATGGGCATCTTACAGTTACGTGCGTTTGTTTTAGATACTTGTGCTGGTTTAAGAATGCTCTTTTTTTTTTTTTTTTTTTTTTTTTTTTTTCTCTCCCCCCCCTTTGGGTGATTAGGTCACATCGCCCCATCCTTCAAGTCGTTTTTTTTTTCTTTTTTTACGCACCACTTGGGGGTGGCGGAAGAGGAGGAGACAGAGGCGATAAAAATGGAGAATTTTTTTTTCTAAAAAATGGAGGTAGCACATATGTCACACGAACGAACGAGTTGTTCCCTCCTTTGAATTTGTTTTTCGAATTATGACTTAACATTGGTGCGTGCATATATGTAGTTTTACAAGGCGCGGATGCGTCAACTTTTTTACAAAGACGATGTGTATACAGTGTGGTGTTACTTTGGGGAAGGATAAACTGATGGAAATTTTGTTTTTCTTTTTTTTTCGTTTAGTCCAAATGAAGAATGGCACATATTTTGGCCTCGTATGTCGCGCTCTAAAACGGGTGCTGAGTGGGGGGAGCACCCGTTCATATACATGCGCACATGCATGCTTAAACCCATCAGTGTATGAATACATCTGTATGTGCATGCAGACATATGTCTGTACAACCAAACATCGGTATGTGCAACCAAACATCGGTATGTGCAACCAAACATCGGTATGTGCAACCAAACATCTGGATGTACATCCAAACATCCATGTCTGTAGATCTATACACGCACGTGCGTGCCTGCGCGTGGAGGGCACTTTCCATGGAACAAGCTGCCCCCCCGCGGCTATCCCTTCCGAAACCGTTGTAATCTCAATTTGTGTAGCTCGGACAACTCATTATTTATTTTGTTATACTCCACTGGGTTTTTTTTCCCCTCAGTTGTTGGTTCCCCATTTGTCCGTTCCTCAGCTGTCGGTTCTTCGGTTACTTTTAGGAAACCTTCAGGGCTGCCACAACCTTTATGTGTGCTATCCACCGCATGGGTTTTCCCTGCCGCAGGTGGTGTTGTCCCTCTTAAAGTGTTAAAAGATCCATTTGCATGGACGACGCTGCAGGTATTGTTGTGACTTTCTCCTTGCGTTGGGACTATCTCACTGCGAAGTTCAGACGGATGAGCGCCTTTGCTCACTGTCCCTGCATCGGGCTCATTTTTAGAAACCATCATCTCGATAAACTCGTATAACTGCGACTGGGCACATATTGGATCCTCGAAATTTTTGATGTTCCATACTTTTATCTTGCGTCCGGTTCTTTTGCACAGGGCGCAGATGTGCGGCAGCTTCGTGACCTTCGCGGGTGCAGGTAGACGTACACAGGTGTAAGAACGTACACAGATGAGGGTTCCTATGTCGGTTGTGCGCATTTACTGCGCAGATATGTTGCCCATATGTACGCATGAACTCTCCTTTTGCTTGTCTCCCCTTGGGGGTGAGGGGGTCGCCCCCTCTTACCTTGTAGGTTGTGGTGAAGACCATTGCGTCCTGATCGTGCTCGTGACGCAGCCAAAAAATGAAGAAGTCCTTTATTATGTCCTGCACCATTTCGTTATTCCATATGTCCCTATTCAACTTCAAGGAGTCAAATTCGGAATCCTGAATGCTCACAAGGATATACTTGTTTTCCGCTCTCGCCTTTTTACGCACCTCTTCCAAAGACAGAGAGCAAATGAGAGAGATTGGTGCTGAAAAAAGCTTCCCAAATGTTTCCCCTAATTGCATTTCTTTTTTTTTCTCATTCTTGCTCTTTGCATTAATCGGTAAAAAATTGGAGTAATCCATGTCGTGAATTAACGCTTGGTTGAAATGTTTATCCGGCTCTCTAACGCTGTCGTCACACTGGGTGCTGCAATTTTCTTCCCCTCGATCTTGTCTGTTGTCACTTGCTGCTTGTCCGACGTCTCCATCTGGCAGTGTGGCTTCTGGGGACCTCGATGGATCCTCTGTCTCTCCTCCGTGTGTAGCGGGCCCTCCATTTATTTCGTAATAGAGCTGTAGGGCATCGTTGCAGTTTCCGTTGCACATCTGCGGGGGGGGGGGAGGAAAATGTGGTAAATATGGAAAAGGGTGCCTATCGTGCAAAACGGTAGCCAAGTCAGGTTAGAAGAAGGGACACAGGAAGCAAAATGGAGTCGATGAAAACGCGTCACAGAAAGGGGGAGCAAAACAAGAATACATACAGGGGGAAAGGACAGCCACCATGGAGGCCATCCCCCCAGAACTGTGTCCTCTCTTTATGATTGTACTTCCAAATAGTACAGGGCCATGTCCTCCGTTGCATCCTCTGTCCTAATTAAAAAAATGTAGAAGGTATTGTTAAGTGAGTTCTCCGGGCCGTTTGTCTGGCGATGGAATCTCAGGAGCTATGACGTAGTCAGCAGGCGCACCGGCCTGCCCGACGCGCGCACATAATGGGATGCCTATGTGTATGCGTTTGAGCCTTTGGCTTCTGTTTCTTTTGCCTCTTTGGTGGCTGCTCCTTTTGCGCCTTTACCAATATGGGTGAGGAATTCTTCAATCTCCCGTTTGCCCGTCATTTGGGGGGTTCACAGTTTGTAGGGCGCTCTGAAGAGCGGCAAAATGGCCTATAGGGAAGCGCCTCCGATGGGTAAAGCTCCCCGAGCAGGTACATACATATGCGCGCAGGGTAAGTACGTTCACGCGCTGATGCGTTTATACGTATTTGCGCATTTGCTTATTTTCTTATTTCCTGATTTAACGGCGTGTGACAGCGTACGGAGGCGCGCTTCCCCCGCCCCATCATTTTAGAAACTCCTTTTTTGTCATTCTCCTTCCCAGTGCGCTTCACCAGTGCGCTTCACCAGTGCGGCATTTCACCCAGGTGTTTTTCGCGCGAGGGGGTGACCCTTTAGACATATGCAAAAATGCTACTTGCCCTTCTCTTGCATTTTTTTGTGCACACTGCGGGGCTGGCGAATGGTGAGAAGTGCCGTCTTGCGTTTTTGCGCGCCTGCGCAGTGTGCAATCTTAAGGGGGCATGGGGAACACACGTGAGCTTACGCGAACATGATTGGCATGATGGGCATTAGCGCCATACACAAAATATGCAACATTGCGCCATTGCCACGTGCACAGTTGTTTGGTCCCAGTTCGCCTATTCAGCACCCACCTGTTTCTTCACACATCTCGTCGCCTCGCCCTCCCCGGGCTTCGCTTCTCCGCGTATGCACCCTGCATAATTGCCTAATTTGTACGTACAGGTGCACATATGGGAAAATGCCGCACCCTGAACAAACTTCGCACGGCCTTTAAAAGGATGCGAAGTGGGAGAAGTTGGCGAAAAAACGGTAAAGCCAAAGCAGAATATGAATTCCCACCTGAACTTTCAACCGTAATGCTAATTAACTCAGCGGATGTCCCAACCTGCAGTTAGCCACTTCCCCATTGGACACCTTCCCCCATGGGCCGCTTTCCCTCATTTTTCATTTCTGCCCCCCCTAGGGTAATGTCCTTTTTTTTTTCTTTTTTGCGAAATCTACCACCTCACATTTTCACACTCCCATTTTGCGCAAAGGTCAGTCCCGTGTGTCTGTCTGGGCGACGTGTGAAACGGTCATTTGGGAGATTGGCCGATTCGCCAATTGGCCAACTGGCCAAACTCGCCGCTAATGCCGCCTCCCAAATGTAGAAAAATAAATGCATTTGTGATGAGACACTCGCCAGGTTGAGTTAATCTGCCTGCAGGGCGAGGTGAAACTTAAGCGTGCTGGGAGCACTGTCCAATTTTTTTTTTTTTTTTTTTTCCATTTAAAGAAAGTACAGAATTTTCCTCATCATGCAGGTAGGTAGCGCTAGAGCGAACGTATTTTTTACTCCTTTTTGGGAATCACAATGAAATGTTCCTTTGGTGTCTCTCTCAAGTTTGGGTCACCTCAGCATCGCGCAAATGTAGCGGAGCTGAGGGGACAACCTGGTTGTTGTAGGATAGGTCATCGTGGCATACACAGGGGTATGCCCACAGATATGTGTACGTACAGATATGCAGTAATACCTATGTACGCATTCACAATTGTAACTATGTCGTGTAATGAGATGGTTAAATTGACGAGGGGAAAAAACTTTACCATGCTTATAAAGTGTGCGCACCTGTGGTGAAAGCTTTAAACGGTTGCAGCTTTCTCCGAACCGATTTTCCCTTTAGCCGCGTGTTCGTAGAGCACGGAACGCTTTCACAGGGTCCGGCAAAAGCATTTATACATGATATAAAGGGATAACCCTTCTTTTTTTTTTTTTTTCGGATTGTTACGCCGCCTATTAGCTCGCCCACGCGTGGCATGGCGATCACGTCCTGAGCAGGAGATCATACCGAATTGGTGACCCAATTTTACGCCAAAGTAGCACCCTCATCAGTTGAAAAAGCATATATGCCAAATGAGGGCGAAGTTCTGTGTTCGTAACCACAGAAGGGGAGGGGAAAAAAATTCTCTTTTTTAAAGTGGCGTTTTTTCCACTCGAACTGGGAAAGGAATATGCATGGTACATATATAAAATATACCCACTTTCGCCATTTGGGCAGCTACATAAAATTACGTGTAGCAGCATTGTTACCATCATTATATGGGAGAACGTGGCTACCAGGGAACTTTGTATCCACGTAAAAGTGAGTAATTTGAGTTACAATTACGATAAAGGTAGGTATGCTTAAGATTGTGCGTGTTCTGGTTTCCTTACCCAACATATGGGTTTTTTTTTTCCCTTCCCTTTGGCACTTTCCTTTTTTTTTTTTTTTTTTCCCCTTTGCATGTAGTAAGGCCTTGTAAAAAAGCGAAGCTGAAGTGATTTTTGCCTGAACATATAATGCCCTTGGAAATGAAAAAAAAAAAAAAAAAAAATGTAATAAAAAAATCGTGAAAAAATTGTAAAAAAAATTGTAAAAAAATTGTAAAAAAATTGTAAAAAAATTGTAAAAGAATCGATTTGCATTGGTGCCACAACTCATTCTTTGCATATAAACCGTATTTTATTTTACAGAGCAGATAAAAGGAATTATTCCAGTAATTCCCCTCATTTGCAATAATTCCCGTCATTTGTAATACTTCCCCTTTTATGTACAATTTAATCTTATTCTTCCATTCGTGCCACTTCGGGTAGCTCCTTTTTAACAAACAGAGATATGCATTTTCTATTCATCCACAGTTTACTCGTCATATGCATATGAGGAGCATACCTTTCTTTTTCTCCAGTCAGTACATACATCTTCCAATTGACTATTTACAAAAATATACAATTTTTTCGCAATTGCGTTCTGTACAATTGTGTGATTGTGCCATCGAGATAATCATTTAACCCAAGCTGATAACAGTTGGCAGCAGGGGGGTTGCTAGCCCATTCCAGTTTAATTCTTCTTTTAATGGCTAATTTTTTTTTTTTTCCCACACCTTTTTTAGCTCCCAATTCATTCACTTTTTTTTCGCTTCTTTTTCACTTTTTCTTCACCCCTTTCTATTTTAATTTATGATGAATATGTGCGCGTCAATAGGTACGATTAAATCTGTTTGTCATTTTAAAATCAGGTGAATTTGACGCGAATCGTCAAATTGGCAGAGCTGAAGAGAAGTCGCCATGCGATGGCATCTCCCCAATTTGTGAATTTATAACACGTTGCAGTGAAGTGAACGTTGTTTTCGTGCAATGCGCTAGTGCGCCGATGTCAAGTAGGCAGTTGTGTAGCGCCCAGTTGTGTAGCGCTCAGTTGTGCCAAATCTTTTCAAGCGTGGCCCAAACGCGCGCAGTTACCCAGGTGGATCCGGACACTGAAGAGGGCAAAAAAAGGGAAGCAAAAAGGGGAGCAGAAAAAACGAGCGGAAAACCGGACCAAGGGCGAAACCCCGAAATTTCCAAAGCGCATACACAGAATACGAACCGCGCAATGTAACAGAACTCCCCCCTTCCAGCTGAGAGGACCTTTTTAAAAAGCGCCTTCCCCCCATTTTGAAGAAGCCACACTGTGTGCATAAAATCACCTGCGCGTAGGAGGTCATATTGTATATCATTAATTAGCGAAAATCATTTTTAATTCTGAACCTATTTTTTGTGTTTGCAAAGGGCTAGCCAAATTGTGTATTTTTTAAGGGGGATAATAGACAGCAGCCCAGTTTGCGAAACATTCCTTCACAGGATCGCATGCGCACACACGTATGTATGCACATGTATGTATGCACACGTATATATGGACACGCATATCATATGTTCGCTGCAATACACATGTGTGCGCCCGCGCGTATGCACGACTTAACGGAAGAGGGACTCTTTCAGTAACCGCCTTCTCCCACTCGCTCAGTTTTTAATTCTGCTGTTAATTCGCAACGAAGAGGGTAATCACGCCGCACTTAGACGCCCACACGTCAAATCCATCGATACGCACCGCGCAGTCGCACGTTGGAGCGCCGAATTCGATGACCAACGGAGCAGCTGACATGAAAACGACGGCCGAGGCGAATAATGAGAGTATCTTCGAAAAAAAGAAAAATTCCCTGTTGTGCCAGTATCGTACCCAACCCATTTTCATCCATCTTTCCCTTGTCAAGAATATTCATCTAGATATTGGCTAGCTAGCTGACTATTTTTTTTTTTTTAATTTTGGCTTCCCATCACGCGTATCTTTTTTAAAAATAATGTCTTGTGTTCAATTAAATTGAAGGAGAAGAATTGCGAAGACATGAGAAGGTGCACAGTGCATCAGAATTGTTCGCACTTGTATAGCAGCACGGGGGGGGGTCGCGCGTAAGCGGGGGTGTGTAGCCACACAGGTGTATATCTGCTGTGTGTAGTTACATGTTTGTAGTTGCTTCGGAGAAGTTACTTGTCCGTGCCTCTTCTGCGTTGTCGCTTCCGCATTTGCTGCGGCACATACATGCCTGTGCGCGCCAGCCGAGTCAACCCTCCCCCCCCGGACGCACACGTGCACCCATCGACTCATGTGCACACGTGCGTATACCCACAGACAGTAGGAGAATATGCGAACGCAACGTACTCCTCGTTTCTATAACTTCCAAAAAAGTCATCAAATAATATATAATCCCGAAATAGTGAAGTGGAGACCGGGGCAATCCGAAAGAAGGGGCAGAGGAAGCGGTTTGAAGTGAGCCGGATAATGATAAACTGGTTAGAAGTCTAAATCAGCACAGGAGAAAAGACGACGAAAAAGAGTGAATAATTATCTTCACAAGAATCGTCCGCAGGATCGCAAAAAAGGAAAGGAACAATCCTAGTAAACGAAAGACGCAATCCCAATAAAGGAACGAAGCGGACCCCTCAGCCTGCATACAACGCACAAGAAGGAAAAGGCGCAAAGTACCGAGGCCCTATGCGCGCACGACAGAAGACACCCAGTCATATCAAACGAACGAGTAGAGACAGGTTAAAATAAGCAGACAAAGGAAGAAAACCTTCGTAAGATTTCACAGAGACGCCATCTCACCGCCAACCAACGAGAGAGAGAGAAGAAAAGGCTTCCCCGTTTTTCATATAATGAAAAGATGAATGAGAAAAATGATAGCGAACTCCGGAGTAGCGATCATGACAATGGCCTTCAGGCCGTAGGAGAAACAGGCCCAGATGGGAGTGACAAGACAAGGGGAAGTCAACACGTCGGAGGTTCTGTGGACGACTCGGGGGGCTCAGCGGATGGGATGCATGGGGCAGACGGGGTGAGCGCGTCGGACGGGGTTAACCCTGCCTATTGCGTCGACTCGAGGGAGATAGCCCATTCCGGGCACATCATCGCGGATGGCCAAAGCGAGCGCAACGAAGGCGCGATGAAATCGTCCTCCTTTTTTGGAAACCTTTCCAGTAAGATAGGAAATTTTAACAGTGCCTCGTGTGAGGAGGGAAACACAGATGGTAACGCTAATGGAAGCGCGCATGGCAGCGCGAATGGTACCGCTAACGGAAGCGCACACAGCGTAAGTGAATTAGGGTTGTTATCCAAAGGCGCGAGCAGCGAGTTCCAGGCAGAGGCGATGGACACCGTGCCACAGAGCGGAGAGTTGGAATTAGCTCTCACCGCCATAGCAGCGTTTAATGAAAGAAAAAGTGAGTTAAAAGTAAGTAGGGGAGAAATCTACCTCAGTGAGAAGGAGTTTGGTATAATATCCTACCTCCTTTCAGGCAGTGGGTTCAGATTCTGCCTCATGGACGACCCCAAGAAGAAAAAAAAGAGAGAGCTGTTAAGGCTGGACGAACTTCTACTGGAGGCTAAGAGGTGGAAGGGTGATGGACTTAGCTCGAGCGTCAAAAGGGAAGGAAGCCACGAAAGGAAACTGGGGGGGCACCTCACCTATGTGGACAACAGTGAAGATCCAAATGGTGCATATCCCTACGATGCAGAGGATGGCAGCGAAGAGGAAGGAAAATTGTCAACACGCGTAGGGGAATTAGGAATACACTGGGACAGAAGCGAAGTCATCAAGGGGGATGAATCTCCCACAGAACGCGAGACACAAAGGAGACCGAAAGGAGAAGGTTACACCCATCTCGACTCGGCAAGCGAAAGAGGAAATAAAACAAATAATGACATATCAAACGAAATGAGAAGTGGAGCTGATTATAAAGAAAGGCTACAGCTATGTGAAGAAGTACTGACTCAGCTAAGAAACTCCTTTTATGACAAAATATTAAACATAGAAAATAACTTTAAAAATATAAGTAACAAAATTGAAGAGAGTAATTGTTTCTATTTCCAGTGTATTATGGATAAGTTAAAGAATGGGGGGTATGAGAATGTCTTTCTGATTTATAATGACATATATCTGTACGTTAATAACTTATTGTTCCTTTCCAAGCCGTCTAGTTTCATTTGGATGAAAGTGCACGAATTGTCGACTCAGATTAATGCCTGCATTTCTGAGGTTCAACTGAGGATGGAGAAAAAGAAGAGCTCCTCTTCCCAAGGCGCGCAGCCCGCGTTACAAGAGCAGGCTGATAAGGACGAGGTCGATAAGGAGAAGGCCCTTCTTCATCCCCCTGGGGACACCCTTGAGCAGTCCATCAATGAGGAGGAGAAGCTCGCCTTCCAGCTACTCCTAGGAAAGTTGCACCAAGACATACACTTCGAGGTGAGGCACGCTGCGAGCGCTTTGAGACGGCACTCTTCTGCTCCGTCGTAAATGCCGCGTTCCAAGCGGGGATTACTATTTATTGCCTCTCACTTTTCAGTTATTACTTATCACCTCCCACTTCCCACCCCCTCCGCAGCTGTTCCGGAAATTCAAAAGCAAAGCCGTGTGGAAAACCCTCGAGGGGGGAGAGATCGAACTGGACGACAAGCTCACCAAGGCGGATGTGTTCAGGTACGGCTGCGCCAATGGTCAGAGAGGAGCCTGCACACATGGGAGTGTTTTCCCACACGCATGAGAGTGTTCTCTACCACTCTGTTTTCCCTTTCCCGCTCATTTCTTCCCCCCCCACGGTATTATCCTGCCCATATTCCCCATCACCCCATTTCTTCCCCTTCCGCCGCAGAGAAATGTACAATTGGTGCAAAGTGCAACTGGAGCTGAAAAGCAAGCGTAGTTATGTGTCAGAATCAGAGAGCGATTCTTCGAAGGACTCCTATTAGCTATTTTAATTTTTTTTTTTCTTTTCCCCTGTGCCGCTGGATGTGCAGCGGAATTATGCCTCTGTATACCGTGTGCGACCTATTCGTTTCCACAGGTCACAACATATTTGCCACCATCCCCTTCGAATTAGTGTTATATCCCTGACCATGGCCTTGTGTCAGAGCGCCTCCCCCCCTATTTTTTTTTCTTTTATTTCTTTTTTTTTGTCCACCTTTCAGCGTACATTTCAGCGCACATCACTCGTTCGAGTGAAAGCAAAAGAACGCCTGAAATTTGAAGCATTCAGTTTATCCTCTTCTGTGTGGGTGGCGTCCATTTGCCGTGCAGCCCGTCCCCCTCGTGCAGCTTCTCGCCCCCCCATTGTTGCTGTGCAGTTGCAGTTGCAGCTGTTGTTAACATTGCTCACGCTATTGTTATTTTATTTTTTTTTGAAATTCCTGCAGCCAACTTTTTGAGCATTTCGGAAATTTGTATTCGCGAGCTTCTCCTGTGTTTACGTCATCGCTGAAGAAATTTGGGCAATGCTTTTTGCCACTTCTTTATGCCACTTCTTTATGCCTCTGCTTTTTTCCTCTACTTTTTTACTGCTGCTTTTTTGATACTGTTGTTTTTTTTTCCCTTTGGCCTCGAGAAATTTCGCTGCTAATTGTTTTAATGCTTCCCCTGATTTTTATGTTCACATCGAACTTGTGTGTGTATGTGTGTGTCTGTACGTACGTACATGTGATGATGGGGACCTCTCCCCTACACCTAAATAGAGCTTTCCGTGGCCCACTTCTGTCTGTCTGCTCTAAAAAGTATTCAGCGAAGAGGAAGGGAGAAAACAGGGGAGCAGGGGCTTCCTGTGCATGAGTGCACGGCGAGTATGTGAATCTCTGCGAAGATTTATTCGTACCCATGTGCCAAGCGGATGTCGCGGTTTGTTCAAGCATGTTGCGTAGTTTTTCAATTTTTTTAACTTTTTCAATTTTTTCAATTCTCTCATTTTTTTCAATTTTTTCAATTCTCTCATTTTTTTCAATTTTTTCAATTCTCTCATTTTTCTCAATTTTTTCAATTCTCTCAATTTTTACCCCTGCATGGCCCAAACAACCGTTATCAATTATCGAATCTAACTTCGTCCAATTTAGTCTCGGTGTAACCGAACTTGACTCAGCCAGATGCTCTGTATAGACACCATATGGTGATATTTTTTTTTTTTTCTTTCTTTTCTTCCCTTTGCTACTCCGAGGCCAAGTAAACGTAGCGCCTACACCCTCCTTCGGAGGAACGAATACACCTTTAGTTAACGAGTAGGGGGAGGCCAAACAAAAAAGAAGGCGGCATCACTAACGACCCAATAGTGAAAGAGGGAAAAAATTACTTATCCGTAATTCGCCAAATGTCTACGTCGGGTGGAGTAAAAAGTTACCCAGGTGAGGAGACAAGTGGAAGAAATGGGACCAGACAGGGGAGGTTAATGTAGGAGAGGGTACAGCAGGATAACATAGAAAAGAAAAGAACACAACAGAATAGAGCAGAACATAAGAAAATAGGATAAGTTGCTGTACGGGGCGAAGGAGCAGGTGGAGACACACAAAAAAAAGGGACGACGTGGCAGCGGGAAGGGAGATAAGCAAATGGGGGCAGAGAGAAGTGCCAGCTGCGGCTACCCGGTGAAGCAAGCACGGGAAAGATAAGCGGACTTAAAAAAAAATAAAAAAAGAGGGGGCGCAACGAAAGGACTGCGCAACGGGTGGAAAAACCCAAAACTGACTTCCCAAATGGGACAATGTCCAAATGGAATAGAAGAGAAAGCCAACACAGGAAAAACCATCAGATAGGGGATGATAAGTAAGATGAGGCAGCCTCTTCGTGCGTCCTCTTGTGCTGTAAATGAGAACTCACGAATGGGGTCAAATTGCTGGCGGAGCTTCGCCGTTTCCCCCCACGCAAATGTGCACGTGGTAATCAGCTGCACAGTGCAGGAAAAAATGGGTTAATAAATGTGATCCGAACTCTTGGGGTGGAGGGTACACACCGAATTTTCGAGCATAAAAAGGGGATGTGTGTGTGCTCTCCTCGTTTTGCGGCGCATGCCAATGTGAGGTTTTTTCCCCGCTCGATCGTCTCTTCTTCATTTTAACTTTTATCATCCAGACTGAAATCTTAATTCTCAAAAACGGAGAAGTCGAGATTATTATCTGGCAGATAACTCAAAATTTGATTTATTGGTTTGTACTGTAGGACAAGGTTTTCGGAAGTGAGGGGCCCTTGGCTCCTTGGCATCTCGCCTTCTGAGGTATCCCCCGCTTCATTACCTCCCTTATTTTGTTGCGAATAGTCAAACATCTTTGCGTACTTGTCCTCGTCCACAGAGCCGAAGTAGGCGATGTTGTCTCCCCTGATGATGAGATTTCCTGGGGAGGGGGTGGGGCGCGCGGTGAGAACATGGGAGGGGTGACGAATACGTGCCGGTGATAACAGCACGGGAGGGAGGTCACCCAATTCAGTACAGTCTCACAAGTGAAAGGCATCACACAAACATGCAGCGCCAAACAGAGTAATATTCCCCATTACCAACGTAGACATCCGAAAAGTAGTTCCTATCGGGGACTATTATTTTCTCGACACAGTGGGTTAGAAATATGTTACCATGTTGATCGTACGTCCTCAGTATTCCTTTCGAGGGGAGAAGCCACAGGAGGGAATTTGTGTGTGCGAGGAAGAAGAGGGGGGGATGTGGTAATACGTAGCTTGATACGCTAATGGGTAGATGGTTGCGCTAATAGGTAGATTGATGCACTGCGTTGGTGCAAAGAACAGCTGGACGCCGTGGGGCGCATTGGGGGAGCACTGACTGTCCTCGCCGGGCTAACCTAGATAAAGTTTGTTGTCCCTTGAGGAAATGAAGATATACGTGTCAATGTCCTCCTCGAACGTGTTGAGCCAGAGCGGCATGGACGGCTGTTCCATTTGGCCTCGCACCGTCTGCGAAGGGGACGGGGAAGAAGTTGTCGGGGTGCTCCTGGGGGGGATGTACACACGGGAGAGTAGCATGCAGGGACGCGGCGCAGAGGTGTATACTGATGTGAGCGCTTTTGCACGGACACATGCTACTGTGCATCCGCGTTACTGCACCCCCAGGTTGAGAACTACTTCCGTCTGTATCCCTTCCAAGCTACTACCTCCTCGTTCCGCTCCTTACCGGCGCATAGATTAAAGTGTGTCCTCCTGACCCTCTGATTACCGCGCAGACTCTCCTCTCCAAAAAACTGATTCGTCAAATGTGCAAGGTGTAAACTCGCCTTTTTCCACTGAGGCCGCAGTGGTGCAGGGGAATTCTCAGCAGAAGAAGCGCATGCGTAAAGTAAGCGTGTACTGTTGTGACGGTGCAATAAGTCCCGTCCTGCTTCCTAGCTACTTCCTCGTAATGAACTACTTCCTTGTAGTAAACTACTTCCCTCCAATAAACTACCCCCTGGGAGGTATTCCCCCGTTGGTGCTTCACCTGGCAAGTGACGACGCCGCTCTCCCCCTGTCACAGGAGTCACGCAGAACTAGGTTTCTTCAAAGAGGCACCTCCTGTAGGGGCAAAGAAACGTTATCGAAGAGAATGTAGCGAAAAAAAAGAAAAAAAAACTTCACTCTAAAGAGTCACTATTCCATGCGCGAAAAAGAATTACCTTAAAATGACGCAGAAGGAAACAAAATAAAATAACACAAAGGGAAACTGAAGGGCTATCCCTAAGGAATAGCATTGACGTGTTTAGTTTGTATGACTAAGTTTATTTTATTCTTTTTCGTTAAGTATGCAAAAGGAAAAAAAAAAGAGGTAATATTTTTTTTTTTCTTTTTTTTTTTATTTTCCCCTCTTTGACATTGCAGCAACGGTTCACCCTGCGTTCTCTGCATTGGAGAAAAAAAAAAAAAAAAACGGAAAAAGCACAGCAAAACCCCCATGCAGTGAAGAGTCGGGTGACGTAACAAAAAGGCAGAGTGTAACCCAAACGCACATTCCACAAATCCACCCTGGGGATCAGTGCTACCTTCCTTTTGCCATTTTTTTTTTTTTTCACTGCAATGAGGTAGGGTCATCTGACTGTTGGTTCATCTGTGTGGAAGCCTGTCAGCTCAAAGATATTCCTCTGACAACGTTGGCAGATTTTTTCTTGCATGTGACAACTTGGAAAATTTCATACACGCATTTCTTTTTTTCCTCTCCCGTTGCAAAATCGACGAAGTGTCCTACGAATTAATTCTGCTGCTATGTGGAGGCATACCCGAGTGGCAGTTTGAATTTTTTTTTTTTTTTATTTTCCCGGTGGTTGCACATTTGTGGCGTTTCCTGTTCTGGCGAGGGAGGAAAAATTGAGCAAGTGGAAAAGTAGCTACAGAGCAGCGATACAGCAGCGGTATAGTGAGAAAGCAGCGACGCATTGACAACGTAGCGACGTAGTGACGAAGTGGGGTGAGTCAACCGGAAGTACCAACCGAGGCAGGGGACCTGCGGAACGATGAAGACCGAAGTATGCTTCTTCCTCCTGGCACTTCTCCTGAGGGGGGAGGGCAGCCGAGCTGTACACATGGAAAGGAAGCCCAACGCCCTGTTTCTGAATTACGCATCTGGGAAAAGTGGTGCAAGCGCGTGGAGTGTTACAGTCGGAGTGAAAAAAAATGTTGCGAAACAGGGTGACGTCATAAGAAGGGACATGATAAAAGATGACGCCCCTCACCGCACGATGAAGGCCCAGGTCGTGCAGTCGAAAAAGGTGCACGACCCAACGGTGAAGATTTTTCAACTCGATGAGAGAAGCCCTACACTACGACCCAACAGTAAAAAAGAAAACGATGAGAACGATGAAAAGGATGAAACGGATGAAAACGATGAAAACCATGTACCCGTCGAAGGAACTAAGGAATGCCCCCCCAAGTCGGACAACCAACCCAACTACAACATTTATCTGCCAGACAACAAACTGAAGGATTACCTCTCCGATGTGAAGATCACCAAAGAGGAAATTACGATGCTCTATGAAGACATGCATCTGGGAAGGATGTTTGAAGATCTGGTTGCAAAACTATACTATAGTAAGAGGATAAACGGGTTCGTGCATCTGTACAATGGGCAGGAAGCCATCAGCTCAGGAATCATTAAAAATCTGAGGCCGTCCGATTTTGTCACCAGCACATACAGAGATCATGTCCATGCCATCAGCAAAAATGTTCCTCCAAAAAAGGTGCTTAATGAATTGTATGGGAACTACTATGGAAGCACAAACAGAGGCAAAGGTGGATCCATGCATATTTACAGCAAGAGTGAAAATTTCATTGGGGGGTTTGGCTTCATCGGAGAGCAGATCCCCATCGCTGTCGGTTTGGCCTACAGCATTTTGTACAAGCGGGAGTTCCCCCTGGGGGGGGAGGTTGCTCCAAGTGGGGCAGCTTCACCAAACGGGGAGGTCTCTCCAGATGGGGCCTCCTCCCCCGCCTCCCCACGTGAAGAGACCGACGTCGTGGCGTGCTTCCTGGGAGACGGGACCACCAACATCGGGCAGTTCTTCGAGTCACTAAACTTGGCCGCCACGTACAACCTGCCGATCATCTTCGTCATAGAAAACAACAACTGGGCGATCGGCATGGAAGGATCAAGGAGCTCCACAGATGACCTGCAAAATAATTACTCTAAGGGGAAGGCATTCAATATAGACACTTATAAAGTGGATGGAAACGATGCGATCGCGCTTTACAAATTGGCAAAAAAGAAGATAAATCAAATGAGAAGGAGGGAATGTGGACCTGTACTCATCGAAGCAATCACGTACCGTGCGAGGGGACACTCCCTTGCAGATCCAGATGAGCTTCGAATACAGGAAGAGAAAGCGTCATGGAAAAAAAGAGATCCAATTGTACATTTGGCTACCTACATGAAAAAAAACAATATCACTGACGAATCTTTCTTTGAAGAAATTAAAAAAAAAACGAAACAGATTCTGTTGGAAGCTGAAATGGACGCTGACCAGAATATGAAGAAGAGCCAAAACATTAATATCGCCCAACTGTTGCGGGAAAACATTTATGCTCCCTCGGAGCGGGTTCCCTTCCAGGCGGATTACAATCAGTATGCAAAATATGATCACCTGAGTGACTCCGACCTGGGTGAGTATTACGAGGCACTTCGGAAGGAAGTGGACAGAAAGCTGCACAAGAGGAAGCCGGACCCCTCTGAGCACTTCGCGCGGAAGAACCTCCCCCTGGTCATCGACTAGTGGGTGGTGTGGCGGCGGGGTAGCGCTGTCGAGACGTAGCTGCGCATGGAATAATTTCCAACCTCTCTACCTCCCCCCAGTGGGTGTTCTCCCAGAAGTATCGGCCCACATAGAGTCAGCCCCCACAAATGGCAATTGGCACCTCCCCCCAGTGGACTATTCAGTCTTCCCATGCAAACTTCATCCTGATGCCTCCATGTCATGATTAGATGATGCCATTAATTATATCACTTGGACATTTTCATTTTATTTCATTTCGTTTCATTTCATTTTTTTCTTTTTTCCTGTTCCTGCCTCTCCCATATGGGAAGGTTCTTCTGGACAGTCGCTGCGCGTAGGAGATAGCTACCAATTGGCTACCCAGAAAGTGAACTTAAAATAAATCAAAAAGTACTCACGTAGAATAAGCGCGTGGAATAGGCACATGGAATAACCACGTCCAATAACCACGTCGATTAAGCACGTCGATTAAGCACGTCGATTAACCACGTGGCGCGTTTTCTTCCCCATGCGGTTGCCATCAGAAAAGGGGCGAACTTCAATTGTGTACCAGGGACGACCCGTCTTGGTGCCCCTTTCGGAATGCCTCTACAAGGTGTGTACTGAAGGGGAGGACTGTCACGTGCCCATAGCAGCGCCTTTGCCCATAACTGTGGCTTTTACAAAAACCGAATGACAAAAATGGAAAACCACGGTTACGAATCAGCAAACAATCCGTTTTCCTCTAGTTTGTGCCATTACTGCAAAACAAGGGGGATGCTTTATGAGCAATCCAGAAGCAAACTCTCTCTACATGATGTGTACGACCCACGTTATACCAGAAGTAGAAGAAGCACCACCATCAGAGGATGAAAACAAAGATGTAACTAGAAGGCAGACCTCTTCACGTGGCAAAGGGAAAAAATTAAAAACATCAACTCTGATGCTGACGCTGCTTCTCTTGATTGTATAAATAGAGTTTGAATCAACTTCAATTATGGCCAAATGAAGGGGAAAAAAAAGAAAAAAAAAAAAGAAAAGAAGAAGAAGAAAAAATAAAGAAGCCAAACGTAGCGGTGGGGAAGCGGCAGGACGAGGAGCGACAACTTAAAGGGGCAAATAATTGTGTATCTCCACGCACTACTTAACGATAGGGGCAACATTTCATCCGGCGGCCAGACTAGGCGCCTGGTTGGGCGGAAGACTGGGCGGCACGAAACATTGCCATCAAATAGACTGTGCAAAAATGAAGAGGCACAAAAAATGGCTGACTGGAAAAGTTCACTGACGAAGAGAGAGACTGAATCGATTCAGCACCGATTACTACTCCCCCATTTGGCACTCATTAGTGCACATCATTGGGGGAAAGTTAAATTACCTCATCTGATAATCACCCCAATGTGTCGCTCATCTCTCCGTGCAAACTACCTGTCGCCTCAGCATACTAGGCGGGGTTCGCACCATTCTACATTGCTATGTTTATCCAAAAAAGGGAACCAAAAAAATGGGGATCTGCCGTAAGGGTGCCTTCCTCCTCATCTCTTGCGTGGAAAAATAATTATGGGGTTTTCCCTCCCTGGAAAAACGAATGAGAAAAGGGATCTTGGCAAATAGGACTCCATAAATGAAGGCTCCAAGAATACGGGCTCGATAGAAGAGCCTTCCTCTGGACTGGACTTTTACACAAACGTCTCGATTTGCTACGCGGCTTCCATTCTTGAGTTCACTCGCATCCCATTTGGTAACTCCCTTAGCGGTAGTAGGGCACGATCAGGGGTGAATCTGTGAAGGCATTTCTCGGAGGGGAGTTCCACACTGTGGTAATTACAGCAATGTTGCTTCGTTAGGCGGCCTCTCCGGACAGCTCAGCCATATGGAATCATTGCGGGGTGCCTCTCCACCGCTCATCCATGCCACTTCATTGGTCCGCTTTTCTGGACACCTTGGATCTAAAAATCGGCAGGCAGGACGCAGTGAGGCGAGTCATGCCGTAGTTTATAAAATCAAAGTCAATGGGGGAGTGCATGCCTTGCACGAGGGACCAAAGACCCCAGTTGATGTGCGAGGAGATGTAAAAGGGCTGTATTTCCTGGATGAGCTTCCTAATTGATTCCTCATCATCTGTGGCTAAGTAGTGCTTTATAAAATGATACTCTTCTTCCTTGGAGGGAGTCAAATCCCAGTCGCAGTTGAATCCGGCGTATTCGTTGAAATGGTTAGCTATGTCATAGGCCCGCTCCATGGGGCAGGAGTATTCGAAGTCGATAAAGCAGATGGTTTCCCCATCGTGGGCAGGGGTGGCGAGGGTAGCGGCATCGTTGTGCGCGTTGTAAGGAGGGCCCACCGCAGCAGTCGCAGCAGCAGTCGAGCCAAGCGTTCCCCCCGCTTCTATGGCGCCACCCCCAGTGTTGATAATATTGGAAGAGAGCAAATCGCAGTGGCACAGCACGATGGGTGAGTTCTCACTTCTACACAGTTTCTCCACCTCAAGTATGTTCTCCCGCAGCATATCAAAATCGATCAGTTTTAAAATGTTCGCCTTAGCATCGAAGGGGTAAATTTTCTTCCTCTCTTCATTCAGCAAATTAAAGTACTTCCAGATGGTGTTCCATAAGAAGGAAGGTCTCGTCCCAGGAACCTTCTGAGTGACTTGCAGCTCCTTGTACAGATTGTCATTCAGCTCGATATCATGTAGGAGCTTCAGATTCTTTGCAATCATTTTCTGAAATCTTGGATTCTTTATTTCCTCCCTGGATAAGGCATATCCATCCATAAATTCTTCAATTCTCCCGTTGGAAAAAAAGACATATATCTTTTTGGATATATTTTTATCGTATAAAATGGAGGAGATTTTTTTTTCTCTTTCTCGGTTAATAATTTCGTCAGTCTTTGGTCCGTACAGTCTTATGAGGTACTTGGCCTGCTTCGACGTGTCTTCCACTTTGATGAGGATGTTTGTGATTCCACCGTTTATCATCTCGAAATCAAGAGAGTCCACCTCGTTTGGAGCTACTAGATCCTTTCCGTAGTGCAGCATCACATACTTGCAGTAAATATACAGGGTCCTTTCATTTTCAAAAACATTACTGACGTACTTTTTTAACAACTCCTCTGCCTTGACGCATCTGTCTTCTCCTTCCTGGATTCTTAGGTTACTCTCCGTTATTGGGTAGACCCCCTGTTTATTCTTCGTCTCCGTGATTTGCAAGTTTATCGACCCAGAGCTCGTTCTGCTCCTCATGGGGAAGGGGGAGGTGCTCTCCACCAAGCTGTTCTCTTTCTTACCCTCCTCCAGTTTCCTCTTCTTCTGCTCTTCCATAGGAGCGGGAGAAAAGCGTTTACTTCGGATTGTGGGCCGAGTCTACAGGCGTTTATTCCGCTCGAAATGGGATAACGCCAAGGAGACTATCACGGGGAAGCTATGACGATGGAGCTATGACGATGGAGCTATGACGACGAAGCTACGACGATTGAGCTATGACGATGGAGGTATGACGACGAAGCTACGACGATGGAGCTATGACGACGAAGCTATAACAGCGTCCCTCTAAAATGGAGTCAATTTTGCTTCCCCTATGCGATGGCAAATAGGAGGAAGAAGAAGAAGAAGAGGAAGCAGGCCTCGTAACCAAGCCAGAGGCGAATTAAATTCCAAAGTGGAGATTCTCACGAGGGGAGGCCAGATGGGGTTCTTTTATCTTCTGTGCGAAGGGGGCGTAAAATTGGTAAGTCCTGAAATGGGGAATCCAGATGGGAAATCCAGACGGGAAATCCAATGCACCTCTATCTTCCTGTTTAAATAAACGCACATGGAAATAGGTTGATGCTCCCCTTCCCTCCTTTGGTCCACTGACAAAGAGACGATCGTCCTTCTTCTTCTTATTCACTGGTTGGGCTCTTCTCAACTTCTGTTTTGAAACGTACACATATGTACACATGTATGAATGTATGCATGGGCGCGTGCAGATTACGACTTGCGTACGTACACTGCCGCATCGCACGGAAGCGGTTGCCAAATCTTCGCGCGGCGATTCGGCCGTTGCAGTTGAAGGATAAACGTGGAGGAGCAAATGGGCAGCAAATGAGAAGCAAATGAGCAACAAATCAGCAAGTAACGAAGAAAAAATGGACGAATGGACGACAAATGAACGAGCGACGAATGAACAAACTGTCGAACAACAGATGAACACAGTCGTAAACAACTAAACAAAAAAACGAAAAACAAAAGAAAAAAAAAGGAAACAAAAGGAACAAAACAAAACGAAAAAATAAATCAATGGGAGTGAGTCAATATACATATCAGCCTGCATAAACGTGACGCCTACCGTTGCATACACAGTTGCGACTTTTTTTTTCTTTTTTATGGAGGCGGAGAGGATTCATCTGTACACCTTCGGTAGGCAGTGGTATTTACTCAGCCGCCCTTAACGGTTATTGGCTTACGTAGTGGTCTTTTAGCGCACATGAATAATCACGCATGCAGAGGGTGTAGGCACGTACCCATCATATGCACATTCGTTGGGGCCGGGTTGGAGCGCAGCCACAGGGTTTCCCTTCGTGTTGGTGACGGCGACGACGGAAAAAAAATTCACACATAGAATAGCATGCACACAGGTACGCTGCGGGGAAAGGCAGCGGGGAATAGCAGCCGCAAATGGCAACCGCGAATTGGTAAGCGGCTAACTGGGGCAACCACTCTGCGCGCAACTTCTGCGCACGTACACACGGGATGCACGCAGGTAACGGTCCACAACCGCTGGCCACTATGGTGCGCGGTGTCGATTTTTTCGCGCAGAATCAAATTGGCATCAACCGTTAGAAAGGAGAAAGCGTTGGCGAGGTGGCCATTCAGGCGTCTGACCACTCGAAAAAAATGGCCAACTCAGGAAGTTGCTAACTCAGAGGGGGTGGAAAACTCAAAAGGGGAAAATTCAACAAAGTGGAACTCCGCAAATTTGAACTGGACACATGCACAACTCGGACGTTTACCAACTGCGAATTGGCAGCGAATGGCAGTTTGCGATTTTCAGAGTTAATGTCGTTGTGTTCGTTAATTGCCGATTTTCCCTTTCGTTAAATGGCGGTTTTCCCGTTCGTCGCTGGCCACGTCAGTGCGTTCACTTAACAGAGCAGTTAACAATTTTCCTTCCAATACCTACACGTAATTTTCTTTCCGACCGTCCTTCCTGTTTTTTTCTTTTTTATTTTTCATACACAGTTAATACTCGCAGCGCACATACGTACACATAGGTAGTTAAACATAACGTTTGTGTATGCTCCCCATATGGCACGTACAGACATGCATAGCACATAGGGATGTGTAATGAAAGGTAAGGGTGTGTGTAGCAGGAATAAACGAAAGTTCTGCAATTCAAAAAGAAAAAAAAAAAAACTTATTTTCTTCACTTTGTATTTTTCGATATTGTGGGTGTGCGATGGGGCAAGTATTTCTTTCTTTTTTTTTTTTTTCCGTTGGGGGATAAAAAAGAAAAGAATTGCAAAAAGTTAGAAGAAAACTGTACCACCAGTGGTGTTGTTTTGTTTTGTTTTCTTTTTTTTTTTTGCTTCAAATTTGTTGCTACGTTTCGATACAATTTGCTAAATTTGCTTCTTTCTGCTGAGTGTATACTCAGGTGGGGAGGGGAGACGAAGGAAAAAGAACTGAATTGGGGGTATATACTCTTTATTGGGTACTACGCAGTGAATATCTCGCTATGGCAAAAAGGGGGAAGCAGCTTTTACAGCGGCGGTGGAAGGGCGAGGCGACCCATTGGGGCGCATAAAATTGGCCAAACTGCAAAATGGCCAAACTGCAAAATGGCGCAACACAGATTCCAACGGCAAGGGAGCACGTACTGCAACTGCGAAAGGAATGAATAAAATAGGGAAACTGATTCAACACAGAGTGGAGGAGAATAATTCAATTGAAAATCCCGCAAAATTTGATTTCATTTTGTATAGCGCCGCTTTTAATTTTTGCGAAGCATTAAGTCGGTAAATGTTTGCCAAAATTGCCACACGGTGAAAACTCGAAACTCTCCATAAAAAAAAATGTCAATTTGTGGGTACAGAGCCTAGGGGCAACGGACGGCGTAGGCTTCCGATTCCAACCGAGGCGCGATTTGCTTAAAAACGTATGCCGCAGGTCGGAAGTGCCGAAGTATCCACTTACACCTTCTAGGCAGCGGTACAACATGGGGGTGATATGCTCATCCTGGGCGCGGCTTCGATATCATTTGCAGATCAGGGGAGTGAGCGCATCTCGGGGGAGCAAAACGACTCCTTGCGTGTCGTATTGTTCGTACGTATGCATGTACATATCTGATCATCCCTTTTTGTACACATTTAAAAATGCTCTTTTGACACAATAAGGCGTCTTTCCATCCCGACGTCCATGCATTACCGTAGCGAATTATCGGTGTGCATGCAAAAGCGGATGCGCTCTCGTGCCGCCTACATGTGCATGTTATTCCTGTTTGCTCGAGGCGGCCTACTTAGGGAAAAGCACGAAGTCAGATGAACCACCCAGTCTCATCCGTTATAGGGCGGGAACCGAGGTACATATATATATGCACTGCGGGTCGTAGGTTTATTTTTATTTTATTTTTTCCCCCCTCTTCTCACGCGGAAAAGCAGATGAATCAATTTTTTTTTTCACATAAAAAAGGAAAAAATGGACCGACCGCGAGAAATAAGATCGCACCTCTTTGCTTCTCGCCCCTGTTTGTTAGGTTTAGTCAGTTAAGAAAAGGGCGAAAAGGAGATGAGCGATGGATGATCACTTGCCCCTGAACGGGGAAGAATTAAAAAGAGCCCTGAGCTGGCGTACAGGTTGATCTTGGCTGCTATGCTATGCCCTGGTGTTCCCTTCTTTTCTCCTTTTTCTGCCGGTCATTTTTAAAAGCGTTCATTTGGGTTTATTTGAGGAAAAATTTTCAGGTGCACAGAAAGGGGAAATAAACATTGTAAAACGGTTATATAGACGTTTCTTCCCCTTTACGCGTTTTTCTTTTTTTTTTTTTCTTTCTTTCTTTTTTCTACCCTTTTCAGCTAGGATACCCTTTCACCTGTGGGAATGAATTCGCGGCCTTCGAATTGGACCCCAGCTGGCTGCTTTTCTTTTCTGTGTCTTACATTCTTGCGCGTTTTTAACACCCTTCCGTTTTGGAGGTGAAAGGTGCAATCTCTTTGCTCTTGCGCTGAAGTGCTGCCCTTTCCGTTTGCGTATGGCCGAAGGTATAGGCCCCAATACGTACGTTGTCTGGATATCTTTTGGTGCAAACCAAACGGTGCACACGTTTTGTGACTCCCTCGTTTGGTGCGATCAAGCGAGGGGGGGCACGACTATGCGCCTTGCGTAAAAAAAAAAGAGAAAAAAAAAAAAAAATTCCTGATATGCTGGTGTTGGAAGTCAATTCATTACGCTCCCTAACATCGCGCTGAACGGTCTTCCCAAAGTGGTTGCCCCATCCTTGTATGGGACCCCTCCGAAGGGTACGCCTTCTTAACTGCGAAGAGGACATATCGAGGCTACCCGATACCACAGCAGCGAGGTGATAGAAGCCCCCATATGGAGAGACCTTCTAAAGGGCTCAATTCTTAACAACTCCGACCTTGGCAGCTCTGCGAGGGGAAGGAAAATGGGATGGGTGTAAAAATATGTAATCGTCGAATGGGAGACACGCAGGGAAGCGGCTCGGGTAAGCCAACTCCTTAACAGGGTTTGTAAAACGTCTCAGTCCGTCACAAGGTGTACCTCAAAATGCGGTCCTTTATCTTGTAGCCCTGTTGCACAACGGTCGCAACAGTCCCCTTCTCCTTCGTGTCGTCATTAATTTCGAAGAGTGCCTCGTGGAAGAGCGGGTTGAATTTCTCATTAATCGGGTCATACTTATCGATTCCATACTTATTAAAAATGTTATGTAGTATAGTCTCCGTCATCTGTATGCCTTTGTATATGTTGTGTATTTCTTCATTCTGCTTGAGCGATTCTTCGCTGATGTTTTTAATGGCTAGAGACAAATTATCTGCAACATCCAGGAGTGACTTTGCAAAATTGCTGATGCAGTACAGCTTGCTATTTTCGATTTCCTTTACATATCTGTGTCTTAAGTTTTCATTTTCTGCCAATACGGACAGATACTTGTCTTTTAATATTTTATTATCCACCATTTTTTCTTCTATGTCTCGTTTTGTTTTCTTAATTTCGTTAATTAAATCCGCCTTGTTAAATTTTTCGTAGTTGGTTTCCTTCATTTGTTCTTTCCTCTGTTCTGCGCCCTCCGCGGGTTTGCCCTGCTGGTTGAACTGGGCGTGTTGGCCGCCTTCGCCTTTTTCGCCCTTTTCGCTCGTGTCGGCATTCTTCCCACTTTCCTCACTTCCGCTGCTTCCATTTTGTCCTTCCATGCCCCTGTGGGCGGCATTGTCAGACATGCCCGCCTTACTGGTGAAAAGGCGCCCCTGCACCACCTTCCCGCCTATCTCATTTGGGCATACGCTGGCAAAGTAGTACCTTCTAAATGCCACTCTCTGCATCGCGCACGCATTCAGGGGGGACCTGCAACTAACCCCTCGCCGCAAAAAAAAATGTGCATACTTCATACTGGGGAATTATCAGAGGGTAGGATATGCGTTCTTCAGACTGTTCCGTGAAACGTTCGCGAAAATATTATGACTGTTCATAAAATTTGCAACTGCGACGAAATTGCGGCGAATTACAGCAGGATGACAGAATATTCTGAACGAGCTAGCTATTTTTTTTTTTTTTTTTTCAAAGGTCAGGCGATTTTTTCCATCCTTTATTCATCAGAAAATTCTATAACGTACAACAGCGCTGAGCTGAGTTCTGCGCAATTGCGCGACAGGGTTGGGTAAGTAGCCCAAATGGTGAAGTGGCCAAACGAGGGAGCAGCAAAAAAACAGTGTGGGAACCAAATGACGAGTGCACTGCGATTTTTTTTTCGCGCAAAACAGTTCTCACCTTTTTGACGCCCCTATATGAAAAAAAAAGGGGAAAAACAGTCGCTTCTTCATTGTGTATTCATGGGGAATATAACAACCGAGGAACTTCACCCCGAATTGATGCACTCCCAATTTTTGAGGTGACGACGAAAAGGTGTTCTTTAAAACTCTTTTGCAACTACTATGAAGGGATGTCCACGATGATACCTCCCACCGTGAATTTTCCTTCCCACCATCGCAGTGGTGATGTATATACCTCTATGCTAGTGAAGCCTATTGGCAGCATTGGCCAAACCATCACAACATAATTGCTCTCTTAGGGTTACGACGTTTTTAAATGACCAACCTCTGCAACGTTGGCGTTTGTTGCCTTGCAGAAAATTTTCCCATTCGCGGTGTCACCTCGGATAAGCCATAAACCATAGAGGGGGAGAGAAAAAAGAAACCAAAGATTTACAAACTGCTGAAAGTTCCTTTAACGGGAGGACATCCAACGGAGGAAAAGTCTCTACAGGTGGGTCCATCTCTTCCTATCCAGGCCGCTTCCCTTTTTATCACATGGACAGTGACAATAAGGAGGGACTACTCCAAACGGACACGTTTGGTTTCTCCACAATGGGGTGAAGGGTATGCATAATATCTTTTCTTTTTTTTTTTACCTGAGCCACACCTGGCAGATAATAACCAGCTATATGTGCAAACTTAAATTGCCGGGTAACGATTACTACCGCGACAACTGTTTTTTGGGAGGCGCGCAACTGGACGCGACGCGGATGGTGAAAGAAGCATGCGTTGGGAGAGGTTAACACACGCGCAGAAAGGACAAAAAAAAAAAGGAAAAAAAGAAAAAATCAGTTGGCGGGGAAATTAGGCAAATAAAGATGATGAGAATGGCTTTCCTCTTAATTAGGCAAAAAAAAAAAAAAAAATAAAGTAAAATAAAATAAAGAGCATCGTCTTAATTAGAATCACACGGACTTCTGAACGTGCAGCGTCTGAGTGCGAGGCTTTGCAAATTGGGATGGAACTAAGTCTCAAGGAGATATACCTACCAATGGCACATATGCGATGCGGTCAAATTATTCTTCACAAGGGGGTCATACCGGAGGAGGACCCACAAATAAATCGAACCAGCAACAGGAGATTGCTTGAAAATTGCCCCGATGGGTCTTCCCTTCCCCCACTAGAGGGATTTCAAAACAATGGAGGCCAGCTTATTATTTTGCTTAATTTCATCCTTGACTGAGCGCTTCTCGCACTTTTGCTTCATTATGGCGCTATTCCTCACCTCCATTTTTTTCTCCTTTTTCAGTTTTTTGTCTTTTCGGCCAAACGTCGAGGAGGAAATTTGGGCCCTACAGGAGAGGGGGTGTAAAAAAAATGGGATAGCAGTGGGAATGGCGGTTGTACAGTTGAAGGCATGCAATACACCTCCGCGAGTGGAGGCCATCGAACGGAGGGTTCACGGGGGAGGAGACGGCCCAACATCTGATACGTCTGACCCTCCTACGTGTCGGTAACTAAGCGGGCATTAGAGGTGTTGGTATGTACTGCGCTACTGCTACCAGCACTACTACCACTACTGCTGCCGTTCCCTCTCTCCCTTTCTTACGTTTTCAAATTGTCCATCAGATTATCCCTCTTCTTCTTCTGGCGAGCAATGTACTTGATGTCCTCGGTAGATATGCCCTCCTGGTGAAATTTATTCTTCATTTCTCTCATCTTTTGTTTCATTTTTTTAATCTCCTTTTCTTCCTCCATTCGCTCAAAAGGATCTTCATATATGTTGTCACTCGGTTTGTACTCATGAACGAAGGATGCATTATCCTCATTTATCTTTATTTGCTTTTTCTGAAATCGTCTAACCCACCCTTTAGAATTCTTGTCGTAAATCAATCCACTTTTATTCTTTTTCATCAATTTTTTCTGCGCAAAGGTTTCCCATTTTGTGTTTTTTTTCTCTTTGGGAATTTTGGAGTACCTAGGTATGTTGAAGTGGTTCGTTTTGGTCATCTGGTAAGCTACGTCTCCAAACTCATCCTTTCCGTTTTTCAGGGCGTCCATACACTGGACGATTCGCTGCAGGTTTTCTTCCGCCTTGGATTTTATGCTGCGTTGGGAAAAGGGGAAAAAAATACGGTGTCTCATGTGAAGGCGGAAGGGGAGGGGGGCCGACCGCAATCAGCGCGTTGCATCCAGTTCAACACTTTTCTGGCGGCTCTCCGTAACTGCCGGCACCCATCCGCATCTTCCCTCGCGTTACTCATTTTCCGAAGCGATTATCGAGTTGTCATAGGCCAACAGGTGCTGCGAGCAAAATTCTATACTCATTTTGCGCTTTCTTAAGGGCGAAAAATATGGTCACCAGAATAGAGATAGAGAAAATTAAAGAAGGAGGGAACTGAACCAAGTTGGAGGAGGTTACCAGGCGAATGTAGCAAATATTACTCTCTAATGTATTTTTTTTTCTTCTTTTTTTTTTTTTTTTTCAAAAGGGCAACTGAAACGGTAGGGGTATAAAAAAAAAGGGTACGACGTGGTCACAGGTGAAACGTATCGCAACAGGGCACCTTTTGCGTCCCCCACGGGGGCTACGTATATATGAAGAATTCACATTGCATATCATTATATAACATACGCACGCTTTTGTGTGATGATTACAATGTTGCGCCTTTTCCCTCTTTTTTTCAAGCGCAGGATCTTTCGGTTGCGTAAATGGTTATACAATTTCACTGCCAGCAGGGGGGATTGAAAAAGAGGGAAGGTCGTTTTTTTCTGGAGGCGCTTCATCTGGGGAGAGTTACATTTTTTTTCGTTTAGGGTTTCACGTGGACATCAGAGAGGCCTCCCCCTGTCTGCAGTTCCCCCTTTTTGGCATTCCTCAAAAAATGTTACCCCCTATCGCATTATAGCATCGATTCAGCCAAGTAATAAAATTGTTGGTCCTTTTCCGCTTTGCTCCCTTTGGTGCGGAGAAAAGCAAAGGTGGCACCTCGCGTTAAGGACAATATTGATAATGTGAAAAGAAGAAAAGGGGTTCCCTTTAGGAGGAGTGAACGGGGGAAGATGCGTCTTATCAGTGGCTACATACAACCACGCGTCAGGCCTGGCTTGGCCCACCTTGCTGCCTACCACCGTCGACCTTAACTATAAAACCTTAACTGTGTGCACTCCTGTGAAGAGAGGGCTCTCTCTGCACGTCGCTTTCTGGTCCAGTGCTGCATTATATGCATGCTGTGAATGTATACCGTGCATGTATTATGCCGTGTTACATTTCGATTGACCCCCCGGATGCGCGGGAATGCCTGCGTGGAAGGGACAGGTTTAAAGGAATTAATTTCCCCTCCCCCATATCTCCTGCCTGGTGCCTTCTGTGCACTTGACCGTAACATACCTCGTTTGATAGGTTACTCAGAAGGGCAATAAAATCTTTGAACCGATCAACCGATACGCCCCCCCTCCGGCTATACACCCCTCACCATTGCAACGTTTTATGAAGCCCCCAAGATACACAATCCTTGTGTACCTTTTTTCGGCCAACGTTACAAATTGGCACTATTTCGAGAAACCGTTTAACCGGAGAAACCCCTTCCTACCCCCCTCATTTATGGATACCTTCAAAAAGGATGCAACATGCGTAGGAAGTTTCGTCTTCCGGACAGCCAAAGGTGTTAATAACCATTTTGGGGGGACGGAACAGAACGGGGAGCCAAAAATTGTGCAGAGGTGTGTACCGCACGGGTTTAGCCGAAAGTTGCTCCTCGCAGAAAAAAGAAGTGAATGGATGGATGAATAAAGGGGCCAAATGCGGGACTCCCCAATCAAGGCACCCCTTAGAAACCCTGTGTGCAGAGAAGGGACTCATTCTTAAAATTGCTTCTCCACTTCGAAATCAATTTAATAGGAAAAAAAAAAAAAAAAAAGTTCAAGAAAGGGCGAAAAGATACAAACGCGGAAAAGTGTACCTCCGGCTTAAGCGCTACTGCCTCCTTACGCACCTTGGCGAACGCGGGGAAAAGTGCCACAGGGGCATGTGCATATGAATTGCATTCCGCATGGGCAGAGAATGAAATGCATGCCATGGTCCAATGTGTCGTGTATCATCTGAGTGCGATAGGGGAATGTTCCTAGTACGTGTCTTCAGGGCAGTTCTCACGGAGTCGACTGCGTCCGGTACTCCCTACCATTACAACTATCCAGTGGTGAAATAATACGCCATGCACGCAGGATAACACTAAAGTGCAGATATATATGTGCACACAGATTTGTCTTGCTCGACGCAATCGTCCTTGTATTTAATGTATATATGAAACTTCTAAGTAGCAGAACAGGCGTACTATGCGTACCAGGCATGCCAAGCATTTCGAGGCATATTTTTTAAGAGAACTCAACTCCCCCCACTCACGTAAGGCATGCCACACCCTGTGCATGTGAACTTGCGTTTCACCTGTTTACCCCTTTTGATTAATTCTTTCTGTTCACGGCGGAGGGACAAACATTTTATCCTGTTTTATTCCTGGTTAAAAGCATCGCAGTATTCATTTCCTTTTTTTTGCTACTTTGTTTCGGTTTCTTTCTTTTTTTTCCCTACTTTTGCTACTTTTTTTCCGCATTTTTCCATTTTTCTCCCCTCGCACCTGCTTTATTCCCCCCCTTTTTTTATTTGCACGGAGGAAAGATACCTTACGGGGCAAAAAGGGACGTGCATTTTGTTCAAGCCTTGAGGCATGGCACACCTGGTGTTTCACGTTTTTAAGCTTTTAGAAAATTTAAAAATGAACAGAATATTACAAATCGAAAGTGATTAAACATCTTGTTCGCGAAAAAAATTTTTCCCTTTCCTTCTTTGTATCGACGCAAGTAGGAAAGGAAGTTCCGTGCGTGCATCTATTGGAAGCTTATTGCAATTTTTTTGCAGTTTTCTAGCATTTCTTTTTCAATTTTCTAGCTCTTTTTTTGCAATTTTGTAACAATTTTTTTTCCAATTCTGTTCATTTCTCGCGCCACTCTTGCCAAACCTGAGAGACTAATGGACGTTTCATAAAAGCTCAGAGATGTACACCAGTGCGTGCGCGAACGTGAGGTTACCACGTTGTGCATGCCCCGTAGGCTAAACAGTTTATTTCACTTGTACGAAGGCCCCTTTTTGTGTGTGTTAAAAAAGGAATACTTTTCATGCGGAGGAGAAATATTTCCTGCTCCATTTCACCTAACTGTTCAGGGAAAAAAAAGTATAAAATAGTACGAAACAGAATAAAATAGTATCAAACCTGATAAATTAGAATAAAACAGTATAAAATAGAATAAAGCAGTAAAAAATAATATAAAATAGTATTATAAAATAGTATTATAAATAGTATTATAAAACACTATGAAATAGTATAAAAAAGTTAAAAAAAAAAATAGTTCCTTATCACGCTTCACCTTATTCACATATATGTGTCACGCATACATGTAACTTTTTTTTTTTTTTTTTATAATTCTTTATTTTTTATTTATTTTTTTTCTCCTGACCTGCCCATGTATAATTGTTGATGATTTTATGAAAATTTAGCTAAATTGAATTTAGAGCTACAAAAAAAGAGTAGGGAAAATAAGGAGAAAAAAAACCGGCAGAAGGAGGGGAACAAGCAGCGGAAGAACAAAGGAAAAAAAGAAGAATACATCAATCTGGTGATCCAAACATATACGAAGCAATTTTGTTAAAAGCAACCACCAAACTGTGGCAAAAAAAGAAAAAAAAAACTCCTCTTTGTTAGCCTGCGGCGGAGAAGAAGCTCATCATCCTGTAAACAATCGCACGAACAAAATGCAAACGGAGAAAAAAAAGGAAAGCGCCAAGGGAAGACCCATATACAATCAAGGTGTTTTGAACAAAAATGCAGTGGTCACAAGGAGGCAGTCAAAAACAAGTGTAAGACACATTGATAAGTTAAAAATTTTGAATGAAATAAAAAATGAAGGAAAGAAAGGCATCCTTATTGAGGGCATAGAAAAGGTGAAAGAGAGAGCAAGTCTTTTAAGCAAAGCAACGGATAAAAGCTCCATGATGGAGAAAAAAAACTACACCCGAGACAGCAGTCGGAGCACCTTACTCAAGTTTAGTGAGCCAAACAGAAATAATAGAAGCTTGATCGGCAAGGAAAAAAAGGAGCATAGCTATGGCCGTGATCCTAGTAAGGAGGATACTCGCCGAGGGGGAAGGAATACTAACACACAACTAACACACAATACCAGGGGAAGAACAAACGAAAGGAAAACTTCCTCCATGGAGAAGTTGCTGCTACGGGACAGCATCAGGGAAGAACAAAGTTTATCCACCTTGTTCCAAGGGTTAAGTAAAGAAAGAATGGGAAGGGTCGAAGAAGGAAGAAGTAGCAAGGAAAACGCGCGCAGCAGTAGGGGAAATACAACAGGAAAGAGAGAAAGCATGCAAGGCAGCAGAAGCACTCTGGGCAGTGACGAAAGGAGCATGAAGACCCACCCCTGGCAGATAAGGAGTGGAGATCAGAAAGCAGCAAAAAGGACCAATAATGCGAAAATTGCAAAAATTGAGAAAAACATAACCAAGGAAGAAAAAGTGAAAGAAGCCAATGTGGAACATGTAAAAAAAGACGACGCGAGCGCCCGAGATAAAAATAAGAAAGATCACATCGTAATTGACGACAGTAACATTTACATCGTCATAGACGACCTGGATGAAGACGCAAACGACAAAACTGCAGTAATAAACAAGCTAAACATCACGAATGACACGTACAATTTTTTAATGAATAGAAAAAATGAAATGAAAGCGGCGAAGCGGAGGAACGCCAATTATTCCTTTATGGAAGAAACTCACCCTATTATCGCCAAGGGGGTCGATGGGGAAGGACTCCAAGGGGTAAACTTCGATGCAGATAAGGAGGATGGCCTATACGATGAGGGAACAGAGGTGGACCAAGAAGAGAGCCTGGACAACGAAGAAGAGGATGAAGAGGCAGAAGAAGACTCCGATGAAGAGACGGAAGAAGACGACACGGACGACTACGATTTCGATAACAAGAGCGTATCGATAAGGGGAATCGGGGAGGACTCCACGAATGATGAGATGGAAGATTTAGAGGTTAGCAAAATTTACGAGTCCTTTAAAACGGAAATGGAAAATCTGCCCCCCTCTGAGGAAGCAAAGGGGGAGGAAGTGAAGCCCGAGGGCGCGCAGGTAGGGGGTCATATCGAGGAGACCTCCAAGGAGAGGAGCGACCTGGTTGGCAAGGGGAGCGAAGAGAGTGGAGGCGTAGTTGGAAGAGTGAAGGGAGAAGCGGGACAGGCGGACCAAACGGACCAAATGAAAGACGAAAAACTCGACAAGGATGCGAAGAACGACCAGGTGGACGTGTCTGAACTGAAGGAAACCAAACTTCCCGCCTCAGACAACCCCGAGGAAGACGCCCCTTTGGTGAACAAAGGCAACGTCAAAGTGAACGATGAGGGGGGTAAAAAGTTTGACGAAGCGGCTAACTCTAATTCTTTTGGGGGCAAAAGGAAGAGCTCTAGCATGAAGGGGGAAGAGGTGCAGCCGCAATGGGACACAGCGCTGCAGGAGGGCAAATCAGTCCAGGGAGTCGAGGCGGGAAAAGAGGATAAATCGAGTGATGCAGGGCAGCAATCGAACGAAGCGTCAGTCGTATCCATAGTACCAGTAGTGCCTCTGCTACCTCTGATGCCCCTAGTGCCGGGGCTGCAAGAATTACGTACCTTACAAGAAATGCACGGCTTACACGAATTGAGGGACAACTCGGAGAAGGAAGAACCAGAGGGAGAAAAAAGAAAAAGAAGAAAAAAAATGGAGGAGAAGGGAAAACGAGAAAAGCTAAAGTTTAACAGCGAAAAGGAAAGAAGGGATCACAAAAACAACGAACTAGACAGAATATATAAACAAATAAACAGAAAAGATATGAACTCTCAGGATGAGGTGGTCAAGAAGTGGGAAAATGATCCAAACGAAGGAGACGAATTCAATTCCTCACAGTACAGTAAGTTAGTCAAGTTAATTTCCATTTCGAAGGACATTTCTAAATATAACATGAGTCATGACATTAGGGATGACGACAAAGGAGGAAAGCCCTCCAACGTAGGTGCTACCTTCAAAGAGAGGGGGAAAAATCTGGACAAGGCAGATAAAAGCAGAAGTAAGCAAAAGGCAGTACTACTTCCATTGGAGATAGAGAGTGTGCAGGGAAGTTCCACTGATAAGGGGGAAATAAAGAAGACGAGCGTGAAGGATCTTAAAACGAGGGACGACTCGACAGAGAGGAAAGACGAAAAGAGGACAAAACTGAAGAGAAAATATACCAACGAGGGGGTAGACAGTAGTTTAAAAACAGGTCAACAGAGCAGCGATAAGAATCCCAACCAGAAGGAACCCACCCAAAAGAGGGAGGAAGATCTAAAGAACGAATCGCACCGAGCGGGAGATGAACCCTCTGATGGTGTCGCTACTCCAGACAGTAAAAGGAAAAATGCGCAGGAAGGTGAAGAAGCAAATGTAAGCAAAAAGTTAAAGAAAGGCGAAGGTGTAGACAGTGTGGATGGGCTCGATGCCGCGGCAGAGCAGGAGAACAACCCCCCTGTGGTAGAGATCTTAGAGGAAAGCGCAGGTGGTGATGATGGCGCCACAACAGGGGTAGAAGAACAACCGAGTGGAGACGCGCCAACGATCGAGCAGAAAAATGTCAGCCAAGAGCCTTCAGCTGTCGGAGAAAAAGAGGAGAAGGATGAACCCCATGAAGAAGTCCAGACGGAGGAGAAGGATGAACCCCATGAAG